AGCTCCAAACCCCTACACCTACGCCCTCGACTGCTAGACCTGAAGCAGCCGCAATAACCAAGGCAACCATGAGCCACCGTGCACTAGCCGAGATCCCACAGCTAACAGCCCGAAGTGGTGGTGGTGGTGGTGGTGGTGGTCGTCGTCGTCGTGGTAGAAGAAAAAGAGGAGCCAGAATAGCGCAAATGAGATTGATCGTGTAGTTCTGTCTGTGTACATGTATACAGACACGCGTCATTAGATGATGATAGCCATCAATCATCTATTCAGGTCTTGACGATGTACTCTGCTGCATGACAACATACAGAGAGTAGCATTGTTTTGATTGACATTATCAGAATTTAGTCACAGTGGCAATCAGCACGAGATGCTGACCAGGTCGGGCCCAGCCCCCCCGGACGATTCCTATTCTCGCCATCGCCGCTTCTCCAGGCAGGCGCCTTGGAAATCTCAGCCCAGACGGGCCGAAACCAAGAGCCCTACATCTCTAAGCTCTCAGCCCGGTGAAACTAGGAAGGCCAAAACCCATGGGGCCGAGGGGTTCTGCGCCAAGGCCACGAACCCCCCCACAACGTACCACCGATGTTGAACAAATCCTCAAGGCCTGCAGTTTGATTTAAGTCGAAGGCCATTCCCAGGTCCCAGCCAGGACCGTATCACTTCGAGATGCTCGCTGATGCCGAAAGCCGCTCAAAGCGAAGACTCTGCACCCCACAGCAAACCCCTAAACCCCGAGCTCCTCTCACGTTTCTGACCTCGCAAAAGCTCGAAGCCCTGGAAAGACCGGAATCTCCAAGCAGGAAGCCATGAGTCGACTGGAAGAAATTCGGATCTCCTGCGCCCCGAAGGCGACTTGATGCTGATGCTGTCATGGCTACGCATTTCAGGAGGAAACTTGAAAGGGTTGGTGAGTGACTTGGTACACGATGAAGATGCAGCTTCGGTATGGTTCTTGTTTCTTCTTGTCCACTGTCCGGCGGGCAGTGGAAACGGCTCGCACAAGACCCCAGAGCGGATGTGTCACTCGTTTGAGCCATGAGTGTTGGCTGGCTTCGCATGAGTCACGATGCGTGAGCCCCAGAAACTGAGAGTGCCCGAGGTTCTAGGTAGGAGGCGTAGCATCCTCGGTGCAAGCACGCGACACCCTTCGAACTCAACCAGGAGCCGAGGGCCCTGGACGTCGGCTGCGGCTCCGGCAGGGAAGCCCTGGCGCTCGCCACTGCGGGCTGGGAGGCCACAACAGCTTTCGGGAAGGGACGGTGCCCGGCTCAAAAGGCGATGAATCTAGAGGGTCCCGTCGGGTTTGGCGAAGTGTGTGCAGGCACACTCTTAGTTCAAGCCGGTCCTTTGTCGACTGCTTGCCGAACCTGCTGGATTAAGCCTACATGCCAAGACGATGATGTACGCATGGAGTCACCACAGACCTTTTAAACCGAGTTGTTGCAAAGTGAGAGCAGGTGACGGCGCTGGATCGCGACCGCCGGGGCCTGGACCGACTTTGCCGACTGGCAGAGCGCCAGGCGAAGTCTTGCAGCCACGCGAGAGAGAGAGAGAGAGAGCTCAAACGCCCATCAAGCAAGCAAGAGAGAAAGAGAGAGTGAAACGAAGGAGCACCAGCTCTTTTTCATTTTCCCGAAAGGGCGCACCACTCCGGGAAATTACAGCCGAGTCCGCCCCAAAATGAAGGACGGGGTTACGCAGAAGCGCAGGCCCGGGGGACGGCTCCTAGCTCCAGTCCCAAACAAAGCAGAGAGAGAGAGAGTATGCGCGTCCGTGCATGCCCTAACTCTGGAGCAAGCAAGCAAGGAAGCCAGAGAGAGAGAGCACGCGGAGGGTGGAGTGCGTGTCTGTGCCGAAGAACAGAGAATGATCGACTGCCGCCACCTCACCATGACAGACAGAAGTGTTGCAGACTTCGGGCGAGCTGGGAAAAGCTCGTTTATCGAGGCCAGTCCACAAAATATCCTGTCCTCTCGGTACCCCTGTGGGTACAACCCCTTGTCTTCACCTGCGTATGGACAGAGGGAGATCGAAGGAAGCCAGCGAGAGAGAAACAGTTAGAGGGAGATGCGTTTTGAGGTTCGGGGATGTTTGCAGTGTTCGGGAGTGTTGGCTTAGGGATTAGGGTTCGGGCGCCCCTTGTTCCTTCTCAGTTCTCTGAGCTCAGTAGCATTACCCACTCTACTACAACTGCAGCATTCGCCCTTCACCATGGCTCTAGGTTTCTAAAGTAACTAGTATTGGATGACTAGTTCCAGGCCCCAACTCTGCTTATGTAGGCGCCATTCAAGCAGCTCTAAGGGAAGCCCGGCCTCTGATGTCTGAAGACGACTCCTAGCAGGGCTGCCGAGACCGGTGTCGCGCGCTCCGCTGCACGCTCGAGGCAGTCGAAATTCTGGGTCGTTGATGGGATAGCTGCGCGTAGCTTTTGGACATCTTTGGATCCTTTGGGATGATGTGGGGTTGATGTGTTTGAGGTCCGTGGGGGTTGGGCTTTGCGGGTTTCCTGCCTTGGTGCGCAACAGCCCATCGACCTGTCGTGTCATCGCAGACATCTTGCAGAGATGTTTTGGGTCGTGCGTCAGGCATGATTCAAAGTCTGTAGTTCTCGGCATCCCCGAACAGATCCGACTGGATTGTGGCTTCAACGTGACGCCCTGAATGCTTCAGCACCGTGTTCCTTAAAACGGTTATAGTCTCTATTCTAATCATTAGAGCCCTCAGACTAGCCCCCTAAGAAGGTCCCAGGATGTCCCCGGCTGACACGGTATAAAGACGGGGCGAGGCCGAGGGCGACCTCCTGGCCTCGCTGGGCCTCAAGAAGTACCCCGACAGCGGCGGCCTTTTTTGCGTTTTTAATTGGGGGCCTTAAGATTAGAATAGGGTTTTTGGGGCGAATTAAACTTCGTTATAGTAAGGAACACACAAAAGCGTATTGGCAATCATGCAGGAAGGCCCCTTTTTTTCTTAGGTCTTGCACCACCCCTGTTACTTTTGACTCGACCTTGCCCGTTTCACTGCCTCGGCCTCCAAGGCCCTGTGAAACCTTCCAGTTGGTCATGGCTGCTTGGCTCTTCTCGAAAGTTCTTTGGCGAGGTACTGTAGGGGCCCAAAACAATCACCAGCACTATTTTGGGGGTTCCTGATTATAATCATAGTATAATGGGCTCCACAACGCTATTCTAGTTATCAAGGCCCCTGTATTATTTGCTTCTTCGTGTATGGATGAGGACGTTATAGTAGGGGGGCTTAACATTCGAAGCTATGCTCGGTCTGAAACATCTCCAGCGACCGAGGTCAACCGCCATCTGCACCGGCCAACCCTGCGGGAAATGGCAGAACTCCTGGGCCCGGGAGGAGCGGCTCTGTGCGGGTTCAAGATTTCGGCCTTCATGTTCGGGGGTTCGGGCTTCTGCGGGGTCTGGCAACAGAGATTTGAAAAACACATTACCTTCCGGCACAGCCGAGTAGCGTAGTGGTCCTGGACTCATCAGCTCATGTGTGTACTGCAAGCTTTTCGCAACAAAGCTGCAGTGTGTACTTTCTCAGCATCCGGATCTCCCGGGCGCACTTGAATTTTGGCATGTCGGAGCTGGTAGCCTTGGGCGTATGCTTTAAGAATGAGTTGAGGGTGACGTGGAATTCCAGTCCTACAGCATTCTTCCGATCGTTGCCCGGGAGCTGTTGTCTTCTGGAGGGTGAGCAATTCTGGTTGAGGCACCGTCCGCCTCCTTGACTGGGAAGCACTCGCTTCCAAAGAAGACCAGCCACTAGCCTCTAGTAAGAAGTCAATCGCCTCTTCTTCTGCACGTCTCTGCCAAGTGAGCTCCTACATACCTTGAACCTGGTATGGTGTCGTCGTGCATTGTGTTCTCGGAAGCCTTGTGCTTGTGCAGGGCTCCTCCTCTTCCACACCTTCATGGAAGGCTGGGCTCAAACCCGCCCACTGTGCCGAACCTCCCTAGAAACTGTGTCGGCCGTGACCTGTGGAGGCTGCGTCCACCCCTCCGACCCTGCACACGTCCTCAAGCCGGGCGAGCTCCGCAGAACCTTCGAGGGACTCGAGGTCGAGAGGGACGAGGAGCGTGAAAGCGTGATTGGGTCCACCCACCCTGCCCTGGCCGCGGACGTGCTTTGGCTATCCCCGACTGTACTGCATTGGGTTTTTTTTATATGTGTGGGAGGGTTCTACTTGGTGGAGCCATCATCTATGTACACATACATGCAGGCATGTACGCGGGGACTGTTTCATGTTCGGGTTCAGGGTCACATGGACATCCAAAGGAGCTTCCTGGCGAAGACGGTCGCCCCATGTCCTTCTTCATCGCTCGAAAGCCAGCCTGATGTTGGCGAGACGGCCATACCTGCATGCCATACCTGCGCTCTTGGGCCATCACCAACTGGGCCTGCAGAACGGATCATAGCAACTGGCGCTTGTTTTGTTGGCTTCGAGGCCTGAGTGGCGGTCGCGCACGTGCCGGCGAGGTATGCAGGACATGTCATGAGTCGGACCGGCTCCGAAAGCCGATCAGAACCTGTAACGAGCATCCGCAAAATACGACGACGGCATCTCACAGCAGCTCTGAGCTTTTCCTGGACGGGTGCAACTTGGGTCGCATGCTACTTTTGCATGCCCGGGCGAGAGCCAGGTCCATCACTGACCACTCCAAGCAGCACTCTTTTGGCCTTTTGGTGGAGTTGGGAAAGTGCCCTGCTATACCAGGACCTTGAGGGATTCACAAAAGGCCAGCAAAGCTGGAGCAGCTTGCATCCAGAGTTCAGGATTCCGGGATGCCGAAAAGATGAGTTGGTTTAGTCATCCAATGCCTGAGAGTGAGTCAAAGACATCTGGGCAAGGCGTCGTGGCTCCATTGTGTTTGCCCACAGCTCCCCGAATCTTCGCCGCCCTTCAAAGCGACCATACGAAATCCACGAGTGGAGCGGTATAGATGCACGCCGAAGTGTCTGTGGCCACATGTTCACAGCCATTTGAGCTGCAGGCGTCCATCGCCCTGCACTCATCGAGCGTGCTGAAGGGCCCACCTGCGAGCTCCCGGTCGCACATCGCATGGTTCCGTGATTGAAGGGCTCTGTGATGGGGATCGCGGTGGTACTGTGTAAGCTGCTTCACCTGTGCCAGTCAATGTCAATGCTTTCAACCCCTGAATTCTCCCAACAGTTCCCGTCCGTCTTGGGAAATCCGGCCAGGCCTGGCTGAATGCCACCGAACTTACGGCGCTTGGCAGCGGCAAGGGCTTGGCTGCCCAGCGAAGTTCTTGGGTACCTGGTGGGATTTAGGATGGATGCCAAAAGCAGATAAACTACGAGGAAACTGGATGAAACCGAACTTCACCGATTCCGGAGAGCCCTGAACTTTGGATGCCTAACAAGGCAAGCTCCTTCTGTTTGCGTGCTTTCTGTTTATCTGGATCTGTGCGGTCTTGCATACCTGAGCAATGAGACTTCCTTTGACCTCAGTCCTGTGTCTCAAAGCGTTTTTCACATTGCAGAAATAATGTTGATAATCGGGCAGTAGAGATAAATAATGCCAATCCCAGTGGCGACAATAGTAAAGATAATCAACAGCAGCAGTAGTACAGTAGCAGTAGCACTATCATCAGCCATTGTTGTTTGTATTATGAGTAGACGTACTTCAATAACAATATGATTGTGGCAGCCGCAGCAGCAGCACGTAAGAGTACTGGGAGTAGTAGGAGTAGCAGGAGGGGCAGCGAGCAGAAGTAGCAGTAGCAGTAGATTTTGTTTCGTTGCTGACTGCGTGGGTTTGATCGAGGTTCAACGGTCAGGCCGCCACATCCAGGTAAGCGTCGTACGTGCGGCTGCACAGCGGCCACTAACTTCACCAAATTTCGGTCCTGAGCCTAAATCCTAAACCCCTGAGCCCGAAGCCCGAAAGCCCAAACCCTAAACCAGGCTTAAGCTTGAATTTACCGCGGGCCTCTTTGGCAAATCCCAAGGCAAAAGCTCGGCCGACGGCTCGGGCACGAAGGAGCCGGAGGTGGCTTTGAAGTGCGCCTGGGGTTCTTTGTTATACTTATAGACGTATAGTATAATGGTCCCCAAAAACCATATTCTAAGTATTAAGGCCCCTATGTTATTAGACGTACCTCAGTGAGTCCTGAGTGATCAACCCATCTGAGAGAGTCCGACACGTGGGCTGGGCCAGGTACATCTTCAAATTTAATCCGTGCTGCACCCAGCTTTCGTGAGCTTTCGTGCGCAGATTCAGACTGTCTGGCTCCCAGGCTATGCCACTGCGGCTGGTTTCATGCTTTTGATTGAAAACTGGGTTTCAGGCACACAAGTCCCCATATTCTCACAGTCTGTGAGTTGGGGCTGGGCACGACCTGAATCTCAGCTTGAACTCCGAATCCATAAACGCCCAACCTGAAAAAGTCGTTGTGCGACAGCTCAGCAACACCTACACCTATTGTAGTGATGGAAAGAGAGTTGTGCGGATGAAACTGACGCAACACTTGCAGAAGCGTGAGAATCAGGCTCCAAGGGTATCTTGCGGACGGGGCCGGACGCTGCGGCGGCTGGAGTGACTGGCGCCTGCCCTGGGCTCTAGGCCTGCGTGTGCAGGTAGCGGAATTGGGACTGCAGAGCTTTGGGTGCTCGAGGTCTCATATTGGGGCTTCGGATCACAGCACATCTTCACTCTGGTGCTAGATGCAGCTAGCCTCTAGGGCCAGGGCTTTTGCTGCTCTTGGTGGTTGTTGGCATAGTGGTGGCGGTGATGGTCCTCCTTCGCTATCGTCACATGCACCATCGCGTGCCGAATCAAGGTGCTGCGTGTGCCATGCAGCCCAATGGTGTACCTGGCAAGCTTGCAAGTTTCTATCGGGACAGTGCGATGTTTGAGGCCCAACTTCTGAAGCGAAGGAAGAGCCGACGTGTTGGGATCCCATTTGCAAGGCCTCATATCTGTATGCCAGGCAGATTGCGTGCCTTCCGGAAGTGGAAAAGAGTGCCGTGGATTGGTTCCTGACCGAGGACCCGCTTCTAGCACGACATCTTTGGACAAGTTATCTTCGCGGTCGAAGTTGCTGAAGAAGTTTAGAGGGCATGGGCTTGCTTTGAATTTTGTGCTGTGCCGCTGGGAAGCGAAGCGGTGCCGAACAAGCCTCAAGCTCCTGTGCTTCTTCGCAAGGACTGCTGCGAGTCCAAAATGAGGAAGTCGGACCCTTACACTTCATGCCGAGCTGCGGGCTTGCGCCCTGCCCCTGCAATGCCACCATATCCGCTTCTGCATGAAGCTGCAGACAAGTAGAAGAAGGGATTTAGCCGAATTGACGAGAGACCACCTAACAGTCGACATCGGATGGATTTGTGCTAGTGAGCGCTCCGGCTGACCGTGCAGGGCAGCGTGCGACCTGTTCTGCATGTGTTTTTGCCGCCCTGACCCAGGGAATGAGTAAACCCTGAATGGCTCTCCCGGATGCCCCAGGGACACCAGTAGTCCGGGCTATGTGGCGGATGCAACGCCTCTCCGGGAGTCCTCCGTGCTCTGGCGGCCCGGAGCCGCTAAGCTGAATAATGCGGCTTGCTGCTTACACCACTGGCACTGCTTGCTTTCGACAACGGGTACACGTACCAGCGTGACTACTGCTGCTTCTGCTAGCTGCTAGCACTCCCATCACGACGGCGACGACGATTACTACTGGTACCGCTGCTGCTACAAGTACAACAACATAACAACTACTACGACTGCTACATCTACTGTCATCTACTACTATACTACCACTACTGCCAAGCACTGGCACTAAAGGCGCTGGCACGGGCTCAGACGCTACCACTACTTCACTGCCAATCAGCCGTTATTGTTGTTGTTGTTGTCGTTGTCGTTGTTGTTGCGAAATTCGCTATTGGTGCTGCTACCACTAGTACTACTACTGCTGCTGCTGCTACTACTGCTGCTACTACTGCTACTACTACTACTACTACTACTACTACTACTCCTACTACTCCTACTATCACTACTACTTACTACTTACTACTACTACTACTACTACTACTACTACTACTACTGCTACTACTACTGCTACTGCTACTGCTACCGCTACCGCTACTGCTACTGCTACTGCTACTGCTACTGCTACTGCTACTGCTACTGCTACTGCTACTACTACTGCTACTAGAACTACTGCTACTACTACTACTTCTGACATTGCTACTACCACTACTACCAGGATAGGAACAGCTCTGCACGTTACTAACGTCCACTATCTTCACACCGGGACGACGACGTCTTGTGGCTGCTTCGTGTATTGCCAGCACCAGTTGCAGTTGCTCTTCTTGTTTCAGGTCGGCTGGATCGAAGTTCCCCGCAGCATGAACTTCAGCGACAGCCGGGGGCCAAAGTGTTCGGAGGTGTTGAGTTGCATAGGGTGCCATTTAGCCTTTCGAGTTGCTTTTGGCCTTGTTCTTATGGTTCAATGGAATGGGCTTCGGGTCCGCGCTTCCATGGGCTTGCCACATCACTGCAAAGGCTACTACTGGACGGCGGAGTATGGCGACGAAGGCTCCTGCCCCATGGTGGCAGGACACCCAGCCCCATTGTCGGTCGAGCACACTGTCTGCGAACTTGGCACCATTTCTGGTCATCTCCTTCTGTTCCTCCACGTCCCAGCACTGGCATACTAGTCAGTCAGAGTGATACTCACGAAAGTAGCAGTGGAAGTATGTGGAAGTCATCGTCGGGATGATAGTTCTAGGTGCTACTGCCATTATTGCAGTTACAAGTGAGCATTGGAACAGGTCGTAAGCGTTATCATGTGGATGGTAGGGTCTCCATATCCTGGTGATACTGGTAGCGGTGGTAATACTGATGACACTGGTTATCATGACGATGGGATGATGCCTGCTTGTTGCCTCTTACCATGGTGGCAACACTCTGGCGGCAAAAGCAGCCTAAGGTGTGCTTGTGCAGTTTCGGCATCTGTAGCGGGCGGCAAGGTCGATGCCACACGTTTTCTTTGGTGCAGCTCTAGCGTGTATGCATCAGGCCGTTGCGCCCGAAGTCCCCCGCGTCAAAGCCTTGAGGAAGTCCCTTACGAACCAAACGCCTCCCCCCCCCGAAGCTTGTGTCGTGTCACTGGCTCCTTCTCGTGTGATCTCTTGGGACCCGGTTGTGAGGACCCCCTGCCTGCCCTGGCGGCCCAGGGCTGACATGAGGAAGCTGACTAGGAGCGAGCAGGAAGTTGAGGCGAATAGTTTCGGGCCTCGGGCAGAGAGATTCGGACAGCCCTGAGACTTTTCTCCTTCAGCCCAGATGAGGCTGGACCAGAGTTCTGGGAGGCCAACCGTTGCGAGTACGGGTTCTGCCTTTTTCGGCTGGTGGTTTGCAGTTCCGGGCCTTTGGCGTGCGAGGGGATTGAGGTCAAGGAGCTCTATTCTAGGATAGCGTTTTAGTGGGTGGTGTTGGGCGTTCTGGTTGAGGGTTAGGAGTTTGGATCAGTTGTGGTGCCCTATTTTCATTACACTGTTACTCCGTCTGCTGCTACGTGTGTTGCAGCTACTGCTGCTGCTACTTCTGTTACTGCCGCCGCCGCCGTTGCTGCTCCTGCTACTGCGACTGACCGCTGCCGCTTCTACGATTACCACCTACGACTACGACTACGACGACTGCTGCTCCCACTGCTTCTACTCTTCTACTCCAACTCCTGCTCCTACTCGCACTCCTACGACTCCTACGACTCCCTCTATTCGCATGCCTACGACGCCTGCGACTCCTGTTGCTGCTCCTACTCGCCTGCCCACGACGTCTACGAGTGCTACGACTCCTGCGACTCCTACTCCTGCCCGTACTTGCATGCCCACGATGCCTACCACGCCACGACTCCCACGACTCCTACGACACCACTCTGAGTCCTGCTGTTCCTGCTAGTCCATTCAACGGCATTGGATAATCAAGACACAAACCTCAAGCACCCGGCCCGGCCACAACGAGAGCCGACAGCGTGCCCACGGGATGTCCAAACTGCGGCCGAGAAGCTATTGGCACACTTATCACATCGGATCGCGTAAACTGCCCCGAAGGTGCCGGCACCTGCCAGCGAGCCGGATTGGGCTGAGCTTGGACCCCAGCAGGGCATGCATTCAAGATGAACTCGGGTTCTGGGCAAAGCTGAAGTCTTCAGGGTGCGATGTTACATACCCGAGAGGTTACATGGTGAGACTGCCTTGTAGTGACAGACTTATGCTCATGACAGCATGTTGGTCCTCGATTTTGGATGCGGTTGGCCTTGAAAGATAGTTCTTGTGGGCTGTAGATGTTTTAGGTGCCTTCCATGCGCAGACAAGGTATCCAACAGAGTTTGGGACCTCCTGTAAGGTGGAGCTTCGGTTCATCGCGGCTGCATGTGTTTTCGGGATCATGCCGTTTTCCTGTGACCCCTTGCAAGGCCGTCCTGTCCTGAGAGAGGTTTCACGTGGATCCTGCAAGACGCTGCCCCTATAGTGCAACATGCAACGTACTCCGGGTCTGAACTTATGAGCAAATGCGTGTCTCGCCTCTCGCCGCGTTCTTCAGCGGTTCTTGCGGGCATCCCCGCTGCTCTCCCGGCCCCTCCCGGCGCCCCGGGGGATCCGGGGCCATGCGCATCTTCGTGCGCTCTGTCGAGGGACAAACCTCCGCTCTCGAGGTGCCGGGCTTGGCAGGGTGGGGTTGCTGTTCTCGAGAGCTCCTTTCTGGATTCTGGGCCGTGAGTTCAAAGAGAGCCCCGCGGCAGAGACCGGGCGGCATGAAGAGAGATCTGCGATCAGAATCTGGCTTGCAGGTCGATGGGCAGGCGGAGGTTCAGGCCGTGAAAGCTACGCACCTGGGAAGCAGCCGGTGCTGAAACTGTATGATTCGAGATCATGGCTGATGACTTCTAACTGCTTTGACTTTCTTTCGCGGTCTCAGCCTTTCTCTTAGGAGATGTCAGGAGTCCGTGCTTGTCCGTAATGAAGATTCTGAAGCCCTCAGGGCAAGGCCCCAGATGTACAGAAAAGCGGAAGCGAAATCCACCGAGCCAAGGATCGCTTCCCTCTCCGGTGTGCCGGCAGAGGAGCGGAAGATCTGGGCACTTTGGGTCTTTGGATTGCAAAGTAAAAGTACTCTGTCAATGGGAAAGTCTACGACTAGGTGAGAGAGGTACTTCGCAGATGTGCGTTGTGGATTGCAAGCCTTAGAAGGAAGAGGCTCGCTGAAGTCTCGGTCGGGATTTCTTGCGGGACCAGGCCGGATCTAGGAAGGATCGGCCAAAGCTGGCCGAGCCTCGCCGCACTGTATAGTCGTATGATACCAAAACTAGCTATGACATCAGGAAGGCAACTAATGTTCAAAAACTGCTATCATCCATCCTATGTCTAGTCTAGTCTATTCTATTCTGTATCCGAGCCCCCGGAAGCCTCGCGGAAAGTCTGCGAGGAGCAGGTCTTGAGCTACGGTGGCCTCAGCCTTGGCATTGCGGGTCTGGGATTGGATTTCGGAGTTTGGGGCCCCGGTCCTCTGGGTTTCGCCGCCTAGGCATGCTAGGCTTTGCTGGGTAGGGTTTCGAGTTTCGGCTTGTTTCGGATGACCGAGTGCGGCGTCGTTTTGGTCGCAGGGGCTTCAGGATGATGTGAAGATCGACAGCCACTCATGTGCATTGCTTACGGGATATGCTCTTATTAGTCTTATCCGTCTGCAGAAGCACTGAGCCCATACATCCATAAGGCAACGTAAGGCCACATAAACCCACTCGTCACGTTGCCCTCGAAACCTAAGCCACGAAAACCTTGTAGAGTGACTTGGAGTGGTGGGGCCCGAGGGACCATCCTCGACTCTGCGGCACGCCTGGCGGATTGCGGTGTCGAGGCGACCGCTGCCAGGTTTGGGGTTTAGGAATGACGTGTTAGCGGTTGGCGGCTTAAGAACCTGGGCTGTCGCTTCAGGAACCTGACAGCAACCCATATTCCGACCCCAAGCGTTGCTAAAATGTAGCCGGGTGAGAGCCACAGGCTCTTCGAGAAATTATGAACACATACCATTATCTGATTTATTTGTTCTTGTTATTAGTACTAACTTGATCCTTATTCTTGTGCTTACTAGTACTAGTATAGCGGTCTCCAGTAACCTGACCCAAGGTCTCCGGCAAAACCTTGCTCCGTCCGAAGTGAAGCAGACCCCACCTTCCCGCAAGGAAACAAGACCGTAACAGTTTGTCATACCCTATTGATGACCAGGAACCCAAAAAGGATAGGGTTACTGAACCCTAAACCCTAAGCCCTAAATCCCTAAATCCCCAAACCCTAAACGCTAAATCCCTAAATCCCCAAACCCTAAACCCTAAACCCTAAATCCCAAAACCTTAAACCCCAAATCCCAAAACCCTAAACACTAAGCCGTTGAGGCCTCAATATTCGGCCCTAAAGATCTTGACCAGGACGAGGCGACTCTCTTCGTCTCCCTCGAGCTGCCACCGGCTTCAAATTAGGGTTCCTTATTCTCATCATACCTGAACCTACCAAAGGTTTTTAGTAGGGTCCCTATAAACCCCACATAAGGGGTTATAATAAGAACCTACAAAAAAGTAGGGTTTGGTAGGTTAAGGTAGTAGAATACACCCCAAAAGCTCATTGTAATTGCCGGGTTCGGATTCGGTTTTGGTCGAGAGCGTTAGGATCGGTGTCTTGAAAAGGAGGCTGTGTGAGCTCGAAGTCCGCAAAATGCCACCGAAGTCCGAAAATCAAAGTGCAGAACCGTAGAGTCGTAGAGCTGCGGGCTGCAAAGCTGTTCTGCATTTTGGACGCTGCAGGGGCTTGGTAGCAAGGCTTTGAAGGAGGAAGGGACTGGGCCCCCATGTCCCCGAGGCCCTAAAGGAGCCCGCACCTCAGAAACTCCAAAGGCGCAGAAAGCAAACAAGCTCAGCGGTCAGCAAAGCACTCAGCACAGGCAGGGCGGCGGCAAGAAGCGCAAGAAGAAGACCTACACCAAGCCGAAGAAGTGTCCCAGCTCTGGTTTGGTGGAGATCCTTCGGTAGAGTCTCATGTTCGTTGCAAGTCTGTTGCCTTGCAGCATGCTTCACTTAACCAGACGCAAGACTGATCTGAATACTGTAAAGGCCCCATGCTTCGTGGCCTATGACAAAAGGCAAACCACAGCCCAGTTCGCCAATTCGCCATTTTGCTCCCTGATTATCGGCATCTGAGAGCACCGCTGTGTGGTGGTCTCACAGCGCGCGCACACCTCCAACATCCTGGGCTTCCTAAGCTCTAGGACTAGGCCCTGATCCGGCCCTCCAAGCGGGTGTTGCTCAACCCCCAACTGGAGCATGCGCCGAGGATCAAGCACAAGCGCAAGAAGGTGAAGCTTGCAGTTCTGAAGTTCTACAAGGCGGGTCAGTCAGGGGTGAGCTCTGGGTTTCTAGCAGGTAGGATTTTTCGAAGGGCCGGAGTTTGGCTTCATCCGAAGCCTTAGCTCATTGTCACACCCATTGTAATTCGCAGATTGTGAGAGCATGCACGCCACATGGCGCCGGGCTATGTCCTTTCATATCGTTCTTCACTCTGATGCGCTAAGAGGTGCCCATGGCTACGGGGTGGATGGGATGGCAATCTGTGCAGAAACCTAACTTTGGGATGTTTGACTTGCAGTAGTACCAGTTATAGCAATGGTAGCACTGGTAGCAGCGGGTGGTGTTGGTGGCGGTAACAGTGGTTAACATGCCTTGGATTGCATATACATGTCTGGCCGGTCGCTGCAAGCGAGGTGGATTCGAACGACAAGGTCACGCGCTTGCGCCGGGAGTGTCCGCACGAGACCTGCGGCCCCGGAGTTTTCATGGCCGCTGGGTTTTGACAGGGCAGGGCCTGAACATTTTATGGTTTAGCATGACTCGTGGGTCCATTGGACAAGCAGGTGTAGGTAGGTGTGTGTGTGTGTGTGTGTGTGTTTTTTTTTTTTTTTGTGTGTGTGTGTGTGTTTTTTTTTTTTTTGTGTGTGTGTGTGTGTGCGTGTAGGTGTGTTTGTGTGAACCCAGACTTGTTTTGGAGTTTATGCAAGATGTACACAGAGTGTCAGATTGAAGTCAATGGACTATAGATCTGCGATTAGCAGAGTTTGCTCAACATTTGGGGTTGTAAGTCCGTCGGGTGGTTGCTGTTTGCTCCGTCTCTCAGGGTTGTGGTGGTGTTGTCCCTCGCAGATGTTCGATTTTTCCGGATTTGGGGTATTTGGGTTTGGGCCTTGCTGGAAATCCGATGAGACGTGTGACGTGGCCATATAGTTAAATATAGTTATGGCTGAGGCCATGCACTTCAACCGCTACTACTGCGGCAAGTGCCACCTCACCTACCTGATCAAGAAGGAACAGGGCAGCCTACAGCTCGAAGCCTGAAGCCTCGAAACCCAGCCTGTAAAAATTAGACCATAGTATAGGGGCCTAAATAATGAACTCTACTATTTTGGGGGTTCCTTGTTATAAGTAGAGCATAATGGGCCCCCAAATCCGTATTCTGATTATGAAGGCCCCTATATTAAATTTCTAGACCGCCTCCTCAACAGCCAGGCAGAAAGCAAGATACAGTAGGGATACCGATGACCTACCTCTGGGCACTCCCGCAACGAAACTTGTGAACTAGCTGTAAGACAGTGAAAGCACGTGGTGTCAAATTCAGTGGGTCTGTCAACAGAACATGCTTGGAAAGACCACGAAGTCGAGAGTGCATCGCTGTGCCAATAATGTAGGAGCCGAAATAATTGACAATACTGCTTTAGGGGTTCCAAAATATAAGTATAATAGTAGCGTGTAAGGAGCCCCGAAACCCTATTCTAATTGCTAAGGTCCCTATATTATAAACATCAAGAGGAAGAGTCAGACTACTGCTGGTACACCGTAGCCATTTAGACGGGACATGCGAGTGTATTTTCCTCGAGTCTGAAGTTGTTCGTAGCCGCGCATCTACAGCCGATGCAATGCCTTCCATCACAGTTTCGGTAAACCCTGGCCGGTGTCCTGCCGGCTGCCCTGTGCAGGACGAGAAGTAAGAGCTGAAGAGGGGCACCTGGTACTCGCAAGAGGTTAAAAGAACGACCGACGGGGACAGGGGTTGGGGACCCGTGTCAAAGCTGTTGAGCTTGAAGTGTTTTCTCATCTGTGTGTCGAGTCAGCACGATCGGTGCAGCTTCAGAACCACTTGAAAAGCTTAGGAATACCAATTTATACAGAGCAACGATGACCATGACACTCGTTGTATCTGGGTCAACGCTCTCCGGACGATGACAACCTTGGCAATGATGATGACGAGGATGATGCTGACAACAGCGTTAGCATAGGTGCGAAATCGCAACGATACAGCACTGGAAAGGATGCCAGCATCTAGAATGATGTTGTCTTCCCTGCACACTTAAAACTTACGGCCCGATGTTGCTGAGAGGTTCGAACAAAAAACACACCTGCCAGCATGCTGGAGGTTATCCCGTAGGTGTTCCCCCGAGAACCAAATCCGCTTGCTCTGAACTATGAGGATCGTGATGCACAACTCTGAGCCCTTAAGCTTTCGATTCGCTTTGCCACTGTGCTTCCAAGAGTCTTTTCCAAGGCTCCAGGGCTCCACCATCCCCGCGTCACCTTGGCATGTAGCAGAGGTGGGCCGGGGAAGCTTGTGGGCAGTGGTGTCTGGGCTCTTCTGGATGTGGGGTCTGGGGATGACAGTTGCATGCAGCCGGGGTTTATCGTCCAAGTTGCTGCATTGTCAAAGTTCCTGATCCTAGGAGATTTGACAGAAACTCAGAGACCCAATAAACTCAAAAAAAACGCGAGACCGATCGGAGAGTTGCCGTCTAGTCACGATCAGCAGCGTGTGATCATGCTCTTCTAACGGTAACGTGTACATGTGACTTGTTTTTGTGTGTTACTGTTGTGAAAGCAAGGCAGCATCGCGAATAAGAAGAGTTTCTGGTCATCATGTTGCCGGTGAAGCCCGCCGAACTCACCGCCCTTGCATCCCGAAACATCCTCAGACCAAGGCTGAAACCCTTAAGCCCCAAAGAAGCAGAGGCGGCCGTTGTGGTGATGCTGGTGCTGGTGGCCTTCGTCAAGGTGTTTTCGGATCGCAGAAGTTGCGACTTTCGGACCTTAGCTCCTCGCCTCGACTCCTGTTTCGACCTTCAAAGCAGCCTAGTTCTCAGAAGATAAGCCACCATACTCAAAGCAGCCTAGTTCGCAGAGACCCGGAGAAGATAAGCAACCAACCTGAAATTCACACAGTCTTTAAATTGCTCAAGTTATGTAACACGACGTTCCACGGAATGCCGCAGCAAGCCGAAAACCTCTGCAAACCCCAAAGTCTCAGTTCCCGAGGCCCGCACACTCATACTCTCCCTGAGCCCCCGGAACCCGAACTCCGAACCCAGCCCCAGAAAGATCCAGTCTCCCGATTTTTTTTTGCAAGGTTCGTGCTTCAGGGCTGTGGGTTCAGGTAGAAGCCTCGGAGAACCAACCCGTCGGGGGGCGAACAAGTCCTTCGACCTGATAAGCCAGTCTGACCCTCAAACCCTGTTCCGAACCCCCAAAACACAAGCCGTAAACTGAAAGCGCTTTCCCAGCTCCCTAAACCCAATGAACCCTCAACCCTACTGTATGAACCCTGAACCCTATAAACCCTAAACTCTATAAGCCCTACACCCAAAACGTAGCCGAGCTTTGGGAAACAGGGACGGCGACCTGCCTGCGCGGGCCCGGAGGGTCGGTACATCGAGCTCATCGAGGTCCTCCGAGAAGCTTCTTCAAGGGGTGGGAAGGGTTACTGTTTTGCCGGTTCCTAGAAAGGCTAGAAATAGTAAGGGCAACTGACAGGGTTGCTAGGAGGGTTGTATGGGATACTTAGAGACTGGAGATTTTTGCTTGGGGTTTCGGCTTTGGTTTCAGGTTCTGGGTTTCAGCTTGAGGTTGTGCTGTGGCTGCCAGGTCGGGTGTCATGCTCGTGGCCAGTAAGATGTTTTGACTGGGGTGGCATTGCCATGGATCGGATGAACATCTTTGAGCAAGAATTCTCTCACCTTGTGTCCAAGCAGTCTTGATGCTGCTCCAGATGTAACAGTGGTCTCACGCGGCCCCTGTTAGTCTGAGCTTCAGGGTGGTTGTGTTGAACTTCAGTTTTCCCCTACAAGTTCAGAGTGGACGACACACGGCGTCGCCATGCACACGTAAATACAATACGATCAACCATATATCTCTCTGATATACATTAGTACAATCAGGAGGCCGGCCATACGGGCCCAAACCCTGTAAATCCCAGAAGCTGCGCGCGTCCCTGAGGTGTGAGCACGCTTGAGGAACCAAGCATGCCGCCAATTATCCTCGACCCGCCCCCGAAGCCTGAAACCGGAACCCCAATTTTCCTACATCCTAAACCCTAGACACTACCTCAAGCCTTAAATGCCTTAAGCACGATAAATGCAAGAAACCCAGTGAGATGTAGAACGTAGGGCCTCAGAAGCTCCCTCCGCGAAGCGGCCGGTGCTCACTGCATGCTGTGGCCGGAGGGGCGCCATCGCTTGGCCTTGCCGAGGTTCAAAGTAAACCCTTGAGGGTTTTGAGGTTTAGGGCTTTGGGTTGTAGGGTTTTGAGGTTTATAGGGTTGAGGGTAAGAGGTTGAGGGTGATCCGTTTACCGTAGAACTTGGACTAGTCGTCAAGGTTCCCGTATCACACTCGCAGCTCACTAGCATGGCTGACGTACATGTTGCTTTGGCGATTTCTCGATAGACGCCCAAGGGCATTCTGCAGCACTTGGGCAGCGAAGTTTTCGGCTTCAAGATGCGTAGAACAAACCCTAAACCCTATACGGGAGTTTCCGAAAATAGGGGTACCTTATGTAGGGGTCCGTATAATAGGGATCCTACTATGTAGGGTACTATATTCGGGTCCCCTATTTTCGGAAACCCCCATACAGCTATCAAAATCGCTGTTAAACTTTTGCTGGCGATTCTCTGGCCTTTTCCGAAAGAGCCGCTGCAAGTGGCCGAATTCACGGGGTTTGATCATGGAGCAGCAAGGGTAAAGTATGTATAGCAAATGATACTGATAGAGATATGGATATTGCTACTCAGTACTGCTACCAGTACTGTGTCAATGCCATTGCCGCTGCTATGACCATTGCTATTGCCATTTGCGATTGTCATTACAACAACAACAACAACACCAGCTGCTGTTGCTGCTTCTACTAGTACTGGTACTGGTACTAGTACTGCCGTAACAGTGTACTAGTGCACTGATGTACTGGTGCACTGGTGTACTAGTCGTACTACTACTACTACTACTACTACTGCTACTACTACTACTACGACTACTACTACTACTACTACTACTACTACTACTGCTACTACTACTACTCCTACTACTCCTACTACTACTACTACTACTACTACTACTACTACTACTACTACTACTACTACTACTACTACTACTAGTACTGCTACGAACACTACTAACTAAGACCACGACTACTATTACTGCTCCTCCCCCTACCACCAGTGGTACAATTACTACCACTATCTCTGCTGACAGTTACTACATGTGTCGCTCTGAATGATCAAGCCATGTGCTAGCGTTTCGATGTGGGAGCGCGGTTTCCTGCGGAAATGACCGGGGCGATGCCTCACCTGGATGTTGCGACTCTTCAGCCTAAGCCACCATAAGGTTACCAGAAGGATAGCTTTTGGTCCTACACTATGGGTTCATAGAAGTTCGGGTTCTACGCAGAATATCAGGCTTGCTTCAACCCAGATCCGGGGACCGACTTCCACAGCCCGCGTAAGCCCAGAGAAGCCTCCGTGCCCATCGCCGTGGGGTCAAGGTCCAATTGGGTTCCAGGCATGCCTGGTGTCTGCGTGTGTGTGTGTGTGTGTCCTCCTACAGGGAGGTGTTGAGGTTTGAGCTTTGCCCATGGTTGACGGTTTCGGCCAGGCTTTGTACACGACTGTCCATTCACTTCCAAGCAAGCTCCAGAGAGACTATTGCTCTTCACTGCTGCTTGGGGCTGGTTGGAAGTGGTCTATCGTCACAAGTTGGCTTGAAGGGCCTGGCCTAGCTCTATCCTGTCAAGCTGAATCACGAGACCCGGCTGCGGAAGCTTCTCTCGGGCACTTATCTTGAGAGCCTGTGGCAACGCAGGCTGTTGAAAGCATTCTGCCGCCGGCGCGGGGCGAGCAAAATCAGAGGGCACTGCGAACACGAATGTGCTGCGGGTTCAGCAGGCAATTCTAGAGGAAACCATGGAACTGTGGAACCTGCTCCTGGAATCCTGGAGACCTGCTCGGCCGTGGTTCCGTGGCAAATGCCAACTCTGGAAACCTCCGGCCACGGATCATGGCAGGTCGAACCCATAAGCTTGAATAAGTCTAAGACCTAAGAATTATCAAGAGGAGCTGAAAGCTGCTGCAGAGTCTGAGCATCCTGCGAGAACGGGCCTGCTGGGGCCCTGCACGGCAAGACTTCCAGAACCAAATCGCGGGTGCCTAGTCCGAAAGGTGATTACATCGTTTGTGGGTTGTTTTTCAATGCTGCTGGGGCCTTCTGTGAGCTCGATTCCGAGCCGTCTTGTCAATACCAAGATGAGACAGATTCGAACAAAATGAAACGAACCTGGGAGCAATTTCTCAAAACCAAGCAGCACATGGCCTGTTTTCTTTTCGGCCCGAGCTGTTGCTTGCACGCCGTAGGCCTCTGAAGCAAGAAGACAGAGGGGCACGGAGAGTATTCAGTGCCTACCTTGCGCCCTGCAACCCGAGCACTCTCCCAGGCCAATGTTGCTCCCACCCAGAAGTCCTTCTGGTTTGTTTGGATCCTGCTATCCCTATGCGAACTGCGCGTCAACGTTTGAGCACCCCTACAAACCTCCAGCCCGAAACCCTGCACTCCGTAAGTCGGAGTTTTTCTCACCATGTTGGGCGACTGGCCTCTCAGCGCGGAAGATGTCAGGACGCAGCCGGCTTTACTCAGCTTCTTCGCATGACGCCTCATGCTGCCTAAGTCCTATGCCCTCTTTTGGTCCGATGCTCACAGCCTGAGTCTCAAACCTGACGGAAATCCGACATGCACAGCGGTAAAGCCCGGTCCTAGGTATTCCAGTAGAGTAGCATACATCTGTGGGAGTTTCAGAAAAATCAGAGACCTCTAACTCTACCAAAAAATCCCAACTCATCGGATCCATTTTGCATCCCTGACAGCAAGACCCCTCCACATCCGAAACTCCGGTGGAGGAGCCTCCGATTTGGCAAGCAGATCGGGGAAGGAGCTTATGGCAAGGCTCGCCCGGCCCGAGTCTGGCGCTTGTGACGTGAGGTCGGGACTCGTGTGTGGGAGTTTGGGTTTTGTAAATGCTCAGAAGCTGCCTGCTGACGGAAGGTATCAGTTTGGGTCCAACCTCTAAACACCCTAGCCTTAACCGCCAGACTCAGACCCCCAAACCCTAAACTCATAGATTGCCTTTAAATTCAAAAGCCCCTATAGCCTAAACTCATGGAAGCCGCCGAAGCTCTTCGCTCCAGGGGACAGGATGCCGGCACAGTCGGTTCAGGGCCCATGTCCTTCATGCGAAGTCCCGTGTCTTGAGTGCAAGGTTTGCATCAGATCCCCATCTCCAGAACCTCTTCCGGGCCTGAGATCCTTGCACCCGAAGCGGCTAAGATCAACATAACAACTCATAGTTATCTTCATCTTTGTGGACCAATGCCATGGCGCCGGTGGCCATTGTGAAGACTTGACGGTGTGGAGCCTTGATCCAGGGTTTGTGCTTCAGTGAGGTGATCGACACTGCTGGTTTAGAGAGCTCTTTCCGATGTAGCATGTCGGCTGATGCGCATGAGGCTACGGGCCCTGAGGTCGGAATAGCGCTGAAAGGCAAGCTTTCTTCTCGTGTTTAGGGGGTCCTGTGTGAGTGCAGGAGCGGCAAGGCTTTCGAGCCCCTAGTCTCCGAGCCTGTGCCCAGGACTTGCAGATGGAGCGGCCTAGGCTGGGACAGCCTTACGTGCGCGATAGGCGATAGATGCAAGTACGATGTGGCAGAGTTCAGGCAATGATCTTCTCGAACACGCCTGGCGCAGGAATTTCGGCTCGGAGTGTCGTCTCCAGGTTCCTCGCGTTGAACCCTTGGTGTCTTCCGGCTTCTGGTTGCTGTCCTTGCTTGCTCCCCTGTGCACGGTGGCAACCTTCTGTTTCCTTCTTGCGGAGATGCCAACGCAACCACAACCACCGGGCAGCAGCCCGAACACTACAGACGTTCCTGTGGAGGTGAATATCCAGGGGCAGAGTGGCAAGTTCCCTATCGTTCCAAAGGGTTCCTCCGGAAACTCGGTGGGGATCAGGGTGACCATGGATGCACTCCGGGAGGTGGATGCGACCGGCGAGGCTGTCGGCCAGACCGGTAGCGTGAAGCACTCCGTCAACACTTTTGCCGCACAGGATTTCACTGTGGGCAGTGTTGGCAAGTGACTATTGGTTCCGTGGGTGCTGCGAAGATCTCGTTCGAGTCCACCATCTCCAGCATCGGCAACTTGGGCGTGGATACATACCTCATCGCTGATAGCGGTGCAGTCGGTATGAACAACGACTCGTGGTCTGTCGACATTGGGGATTTGAAGTGGAACATTCGCTTGTGGGACTGGACTTGGTGCGGAGACACTGGCGCCACCTGCAAGAGCGGTGAGGTGGGCGACGCCATCGAGCTGGACATCACCGTGCAGAACATGGGCGGCGGCTCAGCCAGCAAGAAGGACGGCAGCAACAAGACAGTCTCTCTGGGCGGTGCGGCGGAATTCCAATTGTCTACACAAGTGCAGACGGATTGCACCTGGGTGGAGATGGCTGCTGACTATCCGATGGTCACCACTCAGGGAAGCAGCAGCACTATCACCTTCCGCTTTCCGAGTTTCAGTTCTTCCTCCCTCTACGACCCGGTGATCTCCGGCTCATGCACGGAGCTGGGCCTCGACTGCTCCGGGGACTCCACGGACGGCTCCGCAACGGGCGCTGAGAGCACAAGTGCCAGCGCAACTGTGGGTGCAGGAGCTGTGGCAGCGGCTCTAGCTGCGGCTGCAACAGCATCCGCATACATCGTCTGAGATTGACGCGGTGGGTATGGCTGGGCGGCCATGTACTACCAATTCGGCACTACGGCTTTGCGGCACAAGCTCGAGAAAGCACACGCTTTTCGGAGGTTTTCACAGTTTCAAGATGCTCTTGACTTGATGCGCCAAACACATAAAGTTGGCTCAACGCGTCATAGAGAGCTGAGACGGGTGTCGGCGATAACTACGTCACATACGAAAACAGGCATCGCGGGAGCCGCTGCTTAGGATAGATCAAGTTGAGTCAACGTGCATGTGACTCGCATGTGAGTCTTGGGCGCTGTGCATTCACATCCATGGCTATGTCCAGACACAAGATCCAGCAATATCCACTATGTCCCAACATGTTCAGTTCTTTTTTAAAACCGTAAACGTCCAAACCGTCTGAGCCCCTAAGCCCTAAACCCCTAAAGCCCCTAAAGCCCTAAACCCCTAAACCCCTACAGCCCCTCAACCCCTTAACCCCTAAACCCTAAGCCCCTCTCAACCCCTTAACCCCTTAAACCTCTGAACCCCTAAATCCCCTGTCGGAAACTCCCAGGGCTGCTTTCTGGGAGCTCCATCGGAAGCTCGGCGAGAGCTTCGATGCCGAAATCACGGCGCTGAGGGAGGTCTTGGGGAGAACGGGTTAGGATTTAGGGTCTTGGGCAGCAAGGGCCGAGGGGTTAGGGGTTTAGGGTTTTAGGGTCTTGGGGAGAAGGGGATGAGGGTTTGAAGTTTCGGGTCTTGGGGGGAAGGGGATGAGGGTTTGGGGATTCGGGTTCAGGGGTTCAGCTTTGGGGAGCAATCTTTTCCTTTGCGCCCGGGAATTCGGAATCAGAATCCTATCTAAACCCGGAACCCTAAACTCTAAACCCGAAGCCGACACCCAACCGTTCAGAGGAAAAGAGTGCCTTACGCTCCCAAACAGCAGAGACGGTCCTTGGGGGGAGCGTCTTGAGAGGAGCTTGGGAGCCTGAAGCAGCGCCTGCTTCAGACGCCTCTGAGCATTGAGGCAACTCCGTGAAACTTTCGGGGTTTCGGGTTTCGAGTCTCGGGGTTCAGGGGCTTAGGGGTTTAGGGTTTAGGCCAGGGTTTAGGTGGAGGGACTTGGAACCTTAGACCCTTCCACGTGCTTCGGGGTTGAGACCCAAGTTTGGAACGATGTTGAGTGCTCGCAATGCGAGGGGTCAGAGGGTAAGGACAGTCAAGGCATGCCAGATCATGTTCAGGTGTCCCTGCTCTGTGGGTATTCAACAAATCTTGCTCAATCAGCTCTCGAGTCATCTCGTAAGTTAACCCAAGAAGTAACAAGGCTGCAAGTCATGAACCGCCGGGAACACAGTGGGCTTGGCAGGAGCATGTCACTCCGATTGACGACGCTGCCATGGCACGGCAGAAGTCGCCGGTCTCAGGCGACCGGCATGAGATCGGCGGTGTGTTGCCGACTTGACATCGGAATAATATGAGCACATCAAGTAGGGCCCGCTAAGGTTCCATCGTTGAGCCTCGGGCTTGTGGTGGCAGCCGTTGTTCACCTCAGCAATAAATAGAACTCATGGTCAGAATCGTAACATATTAACCTAAATCGCAGGACTCTGACCGCACAGACCCTCTCAAACGATCCCACGAACCCAACATCAAAGCTGTCTGGAGCGATGTGACTCCGATGAAGCTTGGGATGACTATCCCGACTACAGCTGCGCATGCCAGTGCTGGTGTGAGTGTGATTGAGGTCATATTTCCTGTTCGTAGTACCATGCCCAACGCAATTCCGCGGTGGCTTCCTCCTGTCACAGGCGATTCTTTCCGCTCACGGGTATCGCCCCATGGCCCACCTCCGCCAGAGGAAGAGATCCAGCCAGCCGGTGCATTTACAGTTGTTGGCACTGCTCGCTCTCATATGCTGGTTGTTCTCTCTGGTGTGACCTTTACTGTTGCTGAGCGGGTTGTTTTGGGTTGGCTTGAAAGTTCTGCGACGATGACTATTGCAGCTATTGACCATGCTGCCAGTCGTCTTTGGAGCAGCAGGCCACAGCTACCGCTACCGCTACCACTGCCGCTACCTCTGCCGCTACCGCCACCGCCACTGCCACTGCCACTGCCACTGCCGCTGCCACTGCCACTGCCATTGCCACTGCTGCTGCTACTGCTAGTGGGACTGCTGCTGCTGCTGCTGCTGCTGCTGCTGCTGCTATATTATTATTATTATTATTACTACTACTACTACTGCTACTGCTGCTGCTGCTGCCGCTGCTGCTATTACTACTACTCGATCGCAACGGTGATGTTGGTGATCATGTAGATTATGATGTGGACGTGGGAGTTGTGATGGTGACTCGTGTGATATAACATGCTGCTCATGGCGATAGCACGCTGCGGGAAGGAGAACACTGGCACCGCACTGTCCACGCGGAAGAAGAAACTCCATGCTGCTTCGGCTGCTGCTGCTGCTGCTGCTTCTTCGCACAGTGATACAGTGAGGATGTGATGCCAGTAAGGTGGTGGCGATGACGATGACGATTACGATAATGATGATGATAATGATGATGACGATGATGATGATGGTGTCGATGCTGATGATGGCGATGACTACGGAAACGATGTTGGATAACAAGATTGTCCCGATTCTCTTGATGATGATGACGGTAAGCATGATAAAGAGCGCTCCGCCCCCCTTGGTAGATGTTGAGGGTGACGATGACGAGCACCGACGCTTGTGTGGAACGTTACACTTACTTTCTGCATGCTATCAGGTTCCTGGAAAGTCTCGGTGATGTCAGCCCTGACACCAGCAACCGATGGAGCTCGACTCGTGGCAGAACCTTTCAATTCCTTGAGAGATTTGAGAGTTTGGGTGCGTTTGTGTCAGTTCTGCAGTGTTTTTCAAGGTGTCATCGGTCTTGACGATTTGACGCCTCCCGTCTTTTGTGTGTGCGGGTGTCGATGGTATGCAGCTCAGAGGCAAAATCGCCTCTGAGTGTGCCAGTGGTGAAGCATGCCCTTCCGGAGCTAACAAACCCAAGCCCAAGGACCGCAATGTTTTGTGCATAAGAGGTGAAGCCATTCCTTGGATGCCTCTGTCGAAGGGCACGGAAATCCTGAACTAAGCCAAAAGTCCGCAACTGACCCAGCCTTTGCCGTTGGACCCATGCTGCACTGAGATCCTATATAGTCGTGAGACCAATCACCCCCCCAATCTTTTCCAGGACGTCGTTTGCGGACGACCTCCGTGTGGCGCTGGGTAGCCGAGCCGATGTCCGCCGCATTGTGCAGCAGCAAACTCAAGGCCGGCCATGTTCGTGGCAGCACTAGGTTAGGACTTTGGGACCTTTGGGGTTTAGTTTGTTGGTAGGGTTTGCTTTGTAAAGCCATCAGGATAGTCTAGCTTCCGGAGGATAGGACAGCAACCGCAGCAACAACGACAACGTCGACGAGGACGGCACCACCGCCACCACCACCACCACCAGCAGCAGCAACAGCAACAGCAACAGCAACAACAGCAACAACAACAACAACAGCAACAACAACAGCCACAGCCACAGCCACAGCCACACCCACAGCCACTACCACTGCCACTGCCACTGCCACTCCCACGCCCACTACCACTACCACTACCACTGACACTACCACCACCACTACCACTACCACTACCACTACCACTACCTCTACCACTACCATCACCACTATCGCTACCACTACCACCATCACCGCCGTTGCGACCACTGCTACCACGCCTACCATCACTACTACTAGACGATGAAGACTAGAATGCTGCGACGACTGCTCCTGTTCCTGCTCCCGTTTCTGCTCCTCTTGCTGCTCCTCCTCCTCCTCCTCCTCCTTCTCCTCCTCCTACTGCTCCTGCTCGTACTCCTACCGCTACTGCTTCAGCCACTGCCACTGCAATCGCCACTTCCGCTTCCGCTGCTAATGCTACGGCTACTGCTACTGCTATTGCTGGGAATACCGCCACTGCCACAACTGGCATCGCCACCGCCACCGCTACTGCTACTTGACTGCTACTACTGCTGCGACGACGACGACTACTGCTACTGCTACCGCGATTACGGTGACGACTACGACTCCTACGACTTCTTGTGGTGGTCTCCGGGGCTTCGTGCCCTTGGAGTGTGCCAACAGCTACAGGAGGCCTTCTCGACTCCATCCTGGCCCGACCCGCTTTTTTTGTACTCTCGTGGCGAGGCACATTCGGCCGCATAGATGAGGACTCGATCGGCGGTCGCAGTTCTGGTGCTGGAGGCGAGCCAGGGATCTGATTCGCGGCGTGTTTAGCTCATTGCAAGATCTTCATAGCCACTGTGGGCACCTTTGTGACGGTGATGGAATTCCGGTTCTTCTTAGCGTGTCAGCGGAGGCAGTGTCCCCTCACATTGTTTTTCGTGAACAGAAGCCTTGACCCGCAACCCTCCGTGCAGGGCGACAAAAGGCATTCAAAGCGAGTGCCAGGGCTCCGATGTGGGACCAGCAAATACCAATCCGAAAGCTGTTCTATTGAGCTGAGTCTGCGGCAGGCTCCGGCGAGCCTCACTTCGAGTTCAAGCTCCGAGAGTTCTGGCATCGGGCGGTGGGGCGCTCGTGTGAGAGCTGCGAGATTGGAGGGCTCTTTGCACCGTCCCTTTGACTACTGTTATCATGCTGTCATCATGTTGAGCGTCAGAGCTTGGACACTGACAGATTCTAGCTACAAGATGCTGCATTTGAAGCTCGGGAACACGCTTGTAGTGCAGCACCACACTCTCAAACAGGCCTTCAATTACACTGAATGTGCATCCCGTAGACACCAGCGTCCTCGGCACAGGTGGACGAAGAGCCGCTTGCCGAGGGCCCCAGCGGCCCCAGCGGCGGTCGCAAGCACAGCCACTCTGACCACAAGAAGGATACTGGTTTGACAGTAGACGTGTTGGTCGGAGGGCGACATCTCGTCAGTGCTCTTGCAGTAGGTCGGAGGATTATAGTGCATACCGAATCTCGGTGTACTACTCCCTTGAACGAGCCGCACCAGTCTTGCAATCACAGTGCCAGCCTCATCTGAGGCAGCAGTGCTCAAATGGTTTTTCCGGACTCGTCGAAAGCGATCATAGGAGGCGCGCGTTGCCTTCTGTCTGTGCGGAGTCCGGATCTCAATGTTTTAGCGGAGGTTCTGGCGCACGAGGCTTGATGCATCTCAGGTTCGCATGAAGCCAGTTTCCTGCAGACCCGAACCCCAAGCCCCCGAGCCTGGCATCCAGATCTTCCACATGCTGCGAAGGATCTGCGCGGGAGTCCGTGCTTCCCTTCATCCAGTGACCTCCACGAATAGTGCCCTTTTTCTTTTCGCCCATTTCTTGGGGTTTTGAGAGTTTTCGTTTTCCTCTGGAGATCCAGCTTGGCTTCAGAGTCGGAGCAACGGGGAATCTGAAATGAAGAAGCTTGAGTCCAAGCAGTAGCAATAGCAAGTGCATCAAAAGCAGGTTTAGCAGCAGTGGTCAGAGGAGTCGTAGCTATCGCAGTAGCAGAAGCAGGAGGACCAGGAGGAAAGATGCCATATCATCAGAGGCACTGGTAGTGAGAAGGCTTCCAGCCACGGTCATGGCCACCACAGCCGTCATCATCATATATACTATACTGTACTAGAATATAATGCAATATACTATACTGTAATATTCTGAAATGTACTATAATTTACCAGAATATGATCACCATGATCATACAAAGGCATCCCGGAAGTCCTCTCCGAGCCTGGTGGGACGTTCTGGGGATGACTTTGCTCACCTTTGACATAGGCGTCCCGGCGATTTTGGAGCCTTCCTTGTTCCTTCATAGAACTGAAGAAGTAGTTCAGCCCGCCTGCTGTCGCGTGCAAGATTTGTCGTTCGATTCCGGGGTTTCAGAGACAACTCTTCGACTCGTCTTCTGATTCTGTGAGATGTTGAGTTTTTTTTAAATGAGATTTTGGCCAGTGTTCCTAGCATGAGATTCTTAGTTCTTTGCTCCATGCGCTGCAGATACGAGGAGTTGGTACTTTTTTGATTTCATTTTCATTCTGTACTTTAGGGGGCACAGAAGAGCCTGGGGCCAGGAGCTGTGGAGTTCAAGGCCATCATGTTGTGTGTATTTTGTGCAGGCAAAGCGAGCAGACATATGTTGCTTTCAAAAAGCAAGCTCCCAAACAGAACGGTGTGGTAACATTATGGGGCTATCATGTTTATGTTACTGCATGCACGAGTCACACGTGGTTGGCTGCGTTCGACGATTCCGCGGCTCCCGCTGGGCGCGTTTTGAACTCCAAATCGGGGTCGATCCCCCAGTCGGTCCGGTACACTGAATTTTTGGAAACCTTGGCTGCGAAGCATATTCATCCGACAAGCATGCTCTAGAATCCTAGAATCCCCCACCCACAGTCCTCGTTTCCGCCTCGCGAAGTCATGCTCCCGCCATGCTCCCCTTATGGAGTGGTCTTGGGGAGCCTATAGGGGTGGTCAAGGCTTCTTGTGGTTCCTGGGAGCCTTCAAGCAGAAACCTGGATTGGTAGTTTCTCTAGCTAACGTGTACAAAGGATGTAAGCTGTCCGATCCGAAGCCCAGCATCAGTCTGCCAGTCGTGATCCCACTGCGCTTCTTTGACCCACCGGAGACACTCGTCCTGGTGATCATGTCCTGGGTGACACAGCTACTTGGCGCGCCTGTCGCAAGCGTGGGCTTTAGGGACGGTGTCGAAGCAGGGATTGCTGAACCAACCGCACAGCAAGGGAATGCTAGCCTCTCAGGCCTAAAGGTCAGTATTATTGTGCCACTACACCATGTTGTTCCAATTTTAATCTACCACAGGCATGGTTGCATGTTGTTGCTCTTGCAATTTACAATGTTGGGATGTCTCATCCAGAGTCCTGTGTAGCGCTGTGTGCTTCCAGGAGTGGAGGCGGACAAACGTCAACGTGACAACAGAGCACTACATATCGTCCCTTGCACTGTGCACCTGGCAACGTTCAAGCCCGCAGTAATCCGCTTGAAACTGAGCTCTTTGTCCCTGGTTGAATCAGAAGAACACCCGACCTTCATCTAGATCTGTGGGCCCCTTGAGCCATCCCCGACCAGGCTATTTTGGAACTTGGACATCCTTGTCTCCTTCATTACCGGCTCGATGGCTCAAAGATGGGGTAGGGTTCATGCTTTTGGTCTGAGTGATTTGGTATGGACGTTGCTGGTTGGGATCTTGCCGAGCTTTTTGGCGGGGAGATGCTTTGCCACCTTGAGCCGGCAGTTTTTGTCTTCGTGGTCTGCTGGGAACTCTGTCTCTGCGTCTCGACCCGCCTTGGCCACTTCTACTAACCGGCATAGAGTGACATCGGCTGTACTACATACGATAGTACCCCTCCCCAAAGATTGAAATCACACTAAGGCTACTACCACAAGGGCATCCTCGTGCTCGATCTCAGCCGCTGGCACAGCATAGAAGGGTCTGATATAGGGGTCTTCTTAATGGGGAGCCATATCCTCTTGGAGTCCCTATTCATCGAGTCCGTAATTGCGTAGTTATGCTGTAAGGACGACAAGCCCCTCTTCCAATTTACCCGACGCTTATACTCTTCGTTTTGGTGTTTGTCTCGAGCTGCTTGTTACTGTTGGCTGTGGGAGTTGTAGCCCGCGGAGTCCTGGAGAGGGGACACTTCTGTTTCTCCGTGTCTTGGGCGATTCCGGATCAGTCGGGCTATACGGTGTAGCTCCGGGAACAAGATGATAGCCTTTAGACTCTTTGGTTTAGACTTTGACACATCCCTTGGACAACATGTCGTAGGCTCATGGAGAGAATGGCCCTGACAGAGTCCTCTTGTCAGAAACCTTTTCTTAACGCTTATTTAGTAACCTTCTCAACCCGTCTAGTAACCCTCACAGTGCCTTTGAGTAGCTTCAAAGTAACCAACGCTTAGAATAACCGAGAAAATGGCCTCCTGCAGAGTCCTCTTGTCAGAAGCCCTTCTTAACCCCTGTTTGGTAATCTCAGCAACCCTTCTAGTAACGCTTACAATGCCTTCTTGTAACCTTATAGTAGCCACTTTTGCAAAAACCCTGCTCCTTTTGCAACCCTGGGCCTACACCCACGCCCCTGCAAGACCAGTTTTGGCTGTAATGTGGCACTTCCTTGTCGCGGGATTTTGGGGCCAGACCGGGGAATCTGGTGATGAGGGCGCATCGCCAAGCACTATGCGACCACGTGGTTTCCCTTCGATGCTACCGTCGTGGGTCCCGGCCCAAGTGGTTGAGTTCATCAAGGCAGTGTGTGGCTGCTCCTGTGTGGCAAATGCAACATGTCAACCTAACCAGCATCGCTGCGGTGTGGTCACTTGCCTGACAGATCTTTGCCACCCATGTCTGCTTCTGTGCTTGTAGTGTTTGCAGAGTTGAGAATACTGAAGACTTGGAGCATGGTGACTTAAATAACAAATTTTGTTGTGAGGAATCGATTGGCTTCTTTATGGCCTAGAGGGGCGGAACGTTACTGGGCTGCATCCTTTGCTACGGCCTCAGTGCCTAGTAGAGGGTGAATTATGAACGCATCCTCTATCGCAATTTCTACCCGAGATTGTAACATCACAGCATCGAGAGAAGAAGCTTGAGGTGCCCGAGATCCTGACATCCAAGAATCGAATCTCGAATACCAGACCACCCAAGTTCCCGCCCTTGCCGGGGGGGCGTGGGGTGACTGGGGTGACGGTGGTCGGGACCTGACCTGTTGAGTCCTGGGTTTGAATGCAGGCAATCCGTGGTTGAATCCTCAGATAGGTCTGAATATTTTTGACAGTAATTAGTAAGGTTTTAGCTACAGCAAGGTCAGGAGGAGTGTCTTGCGTGCTTTTGTCATTGCTTTTGTTTCAGCCTGACAAGCCCTCCAACATAATTCTTGACATCCACAAAATACCGACCCTAAAGCTCTAAAGCTCCTGGTGCCCAGCAAACCGCCGGTGTGGCCCGTCTTTCGAAGACGGTACGAATCCTTCGATTCTTGCGCTCCTGGACAGCAATGACGGATTGTATTGAAGTACGGGTTTCCGTCGTGTTTGAGCAGGATTTGTATAGTGGGTTTCTACAGGGTCGTCATGGGTCGTCTGTGGTTTGTATTAGGCTCATATTAGGTTTAGAAGCGCCTCATGCTCCACTGCAATCACACGGGGTCGTTGTCGAGAGGACGGCACCCCGCGCGCCGGGACACGAGAAGCTCGCTACAGCCCACCCAAATCCGAACAACAATGATGCGACCGGCACCAGCACCAGCAGCAGCAGCAGCAGCAGCAACAGCAGCAGCAACAGCACAACAATAGCAACACCAACAACAACAACTGCATCCACGATGACAACAGCGATAGCGACAACAGCAACACCAACAAAGCACCATCATCGCCATCATCACCAGCATCATTTCCGCCATCGTTACCATCTTCTCGATCAGGATCACCATCGCCACCGTCATCATCGTCACCATCATCGCCGTATCATCACTATCATGACCACCAACACCACCACCACCATCACCACCCCCGCCGTCATCCTCATCCTCATCATTATCGCCGAGGTCATCATCATCATCATCATCATCAGCATCATCATCTTCAGCACCATAATCATAATCAACATCATCATCATCATCATCATCATCATCATCATCGCCATGGCCATCGCCGTCGCCGTCGCCATCGCCACCATCATTGCCACCATCATGATTCTCGTAGTCATTATCGTTATCATCATCATCATCAGCATCATAGCCTGAAGTGTCTCATGCACTCCGCTACCCCCAAAAGCTTGAGCTTCGAAATCAGCGATGCAAAGTACCCGAAACGCCGAAGTCGTCTCATCAACCCTAAAGAAGCAGATGCAGCACTCTAAGGCTGACCATGTGAACCGCTACCCCTAAGACCTGACTCTAAAACCCGAAACTCCTCCGAATCAGTCGAACAACATCCCAACCCTCAAAAGCCCCAAGAAGCTTTAACGTGGCGCAGGCCTGGTCCGGCTTGCCAGGCTCGCGAAGGTCAGCACCATGGTGGAAGCTCTCCAGGCCCGCGGTTGAAGGGTTTGAGAGGGGATCCTTTCAGGCTGATATTAGGGTTCCGGTCAGGCTTCCTTTCAGTTCGTGTTCGGGGTTTGGGTTCTGAATTTCAGGTTCCGGGAGGCTGGGATTGCTGCTTGCCTTAGGGGTGCACTGGAGCCTTTGTGTTTCAGGCCCTACATGTCCGCTGACCGGTGAAGCTATGTTCCCGCCGTGTCTCTCCTACATGTGCGATGTCCGGTGAAGCTGTGTTGCAGCTGCGTCTCTTCCACTCTTCATCTTGCTTCACATCCTTTTCTCACCATTTTTCAGACTCGGAGGCCCTCGATGATGACACACTGGGAGAGATTTGGCCCCCTCGACCCTTTGCCAGGAGCAGGTCAACTCACAAGTGGTGCCTGGCCCTGCAAGATGAGTTGCTGCAGTCATTTTGGGCGAATTCGCTTGCCTTGAAGGCTTCGGATTGCAAGGGATGTCAGAAGTGCGCGCTTTTGCAAGGGGTTGCGGGCAGTTCAGGGACTGCGTTGCACCAGTTGTAGCCCTGTCTCAGCTTGAAGACGCCTCCATGCCTGATGAATAGCACAAGCCATGACAACAGCGGCAGCAGCATCAAAAGCAGCCGCTACCCTACCTTTCCGCTTGAGTTGTCCACAGCAAGGTCGGAGGATGTAACGACATGTGATGTCTTGTGCTACAAAGGCCCCTCCTGTCTCATTGAACCGACCCTAAGCCCTACGAAAGGCAACGATCCACTACAGCATCTTCAAGATCATCGGCCGGATGATGCTGCTGCTTCCTGGACTGCCTAGAGCTTTTGGATCTCGCGTTTTCATGGACTTCAGAGCCTTCGATTGTTGAACGGAGCAGGTTGCTTCCTTCGCTGGTTCATGGGCTCGGTCTCATGGCTTCTGCATAGAAGGTAGTGTCTGCATGGAGGGCTGCCTGGTATCTCACTACCAGTCTGTCGGCATCTGTGTGACCACAACCTCCAGCTATCATAGTGCCTCACTAGGACTCGGTGGCATCGTAGTAGATAAAAGCCGCTGAAGTCCTTTAGAGACCGAGGAATCACGTGATCGCTTGCTCCTGGTGGGGCATCGCGCAGCTGGACGAGGGCCAGCCAAACTGGCCGATTGCCTAAGCGTAAGCTTGTTGAACTTACGCATCAGGCTTCATGGAATTCCTGGTTGCAAGAAGGCAGGATCCCAGAGAGTCATGCTACACCACGAGTCCAGCAAACCGCAAATGTAGGCAAATCACAAGCCTTAAGTTCTCGCTCTAGCACGTGTGTTTTCTGAAGTTGTCAGGCAAAGAATGTCGCATGTCAGTGACCGGAAATACTGAAGTGGAATTCCACGTTTTCCAAGATCTCATGCACCAATGACTGAGGATCACCGAGAACCAGCTGGAGGACCGCTCCATTGAATACCAGCACCTCCTCACTGCACTTGGTAACAGCACTACCCTGTGAATATTCCTCTTGTTGCTGCTGCTACTGCTAGTGCTGCTTCTGATTCTGCTACTGCCACTGCCACTGCCACGGCCACTGCCACTGCTGCTACTGCCGCCGCTACTGCTCCTGCTACTGTTGTTGCTGCAACTACTGCCATCGCCTCTGCACTGCTGCTGCTGCTGTTCCTCCTCCCCCTCCTCCTCCGCCTCCTCCTCCTACTAGTACTACTACTTAGATACTACTTCTACTTCTAGCACGGACGACGACGACTACTACTACTACTACTACTACTACTACTACTACTACTACTACTACTACTGCTACTACTTGTGCTACGCTTCCTATGCGGCTACTGGAAGGCCCCAAACAAACAGTGCCACGTGCAGAGTTGCGAGCTCTGGTTGAGCTGATATGCAGCACGCAAGGTGATGTTCATTTCAGCTGTGATTCGTTAGTAACGGTGAAGAACCTAAAACGCCTCTTGCACAGTCGGAAAATCAAACACAAAACATTTCATGCCGATCTTTGGTTGAAAGTTGTTAGCAGTCTTGAAAGGCAGATCTACCCGATGTGGGTCAAGTCGCATGTTGATAGGAAGTCGTTTGAAGAACTCTTCGGTGATCAATCAGATTGGGCCTTTGTCTCCAACCAGCATGCGGACAGCGCTGCCGGAGAGAGAGCGAAGTGACTGGATAAGCAGGCTATGTATGCCACATATCGTGATATAAACCGATTGATTGATCAGAAATTGTTTCGCATTCAACAACACTTGCTTCCTCGCATTGCTGGCATCCTGTCGGCCATTCCACATCAGGCCAAGCCTTTTGGGCCGCGACCGGCAACTAGACAACAGTTTCTAGATCTTCTGCGAACCACACACCCATGGCATCATTGGCAGTTTGGCAATCGCCAAGCTTGGTGCCTAAACTGTGGCACTCGTCTAGCCTCTAGATTCAAATTTGATAGGATCAAACTCCTAGCGGGGCGACCTTGCCCGATATCCTCTGTGCATTTAGTTTCCCTCGGTGTGCATTGGACGCATGATTTCTGTTTTTACGGTTTAGCGAAGGGTTGGCGGTGTCGTTGTGGGCTCACACTGAAAATGCATGCGAGGGAGGCGAGTTGGGTTCGGTGTGCCAGGAGCTGTAAAGCTCATCGTTAGTAGCAACCTTTCAGTATCAGCTTCGCTGTGTATTCCGTCAAACAAAAATTGCTGCTGCTACCACTGCCACTGCCACTGCCACTAACAGCAACAGCAACTGCAACGACAACGGCAACGGCAGCAGCAGCAGCAGCAGCAGCAGTAGAAGCAGCAGCGGCGGCAAAAGCAGCAGCAGCAGCAGCAGCAGCAGCAGCAGCAGCAGCAGCAGCAGCAGCAGCAGCAGCAACAGCAACAGCAGCAATAGCAACAACAGCAACAACAGCAACAGCACCAGCAACAACAACAGTAACAGCAACAGTAACAGCAACAGGAGCACTAATGCGGTTTCGCTGATTATGGCCACTTCTTTTTGACGTTGTTGCTGCTGCTGTTGCTGTTGATGTTGCTGTTGTGTTGCTGCTGTCGCTGTTGCTGTTGCTGTTGGTTGTTGTTGTTGTTGCTGCTGCTGTCGCTGTTGATTTTGCTGTTGTGTTGCTGCTGCTGCTGGTGCTGGTGCTGGTGATGGTGGTGCCGCTGTCGATGGTGCTGTTGTTGCTGCGTCTGTTGTTCTCGTTGTCCGGAACCGTGGCAGGCTGATACAGTGATAAGATCTTCTTTTGATCATTTCGTTCGCCCTACAGTCCTCGTCATCAGCACCGCCACCTTCATCGGACGAGTTTTTAATAGCCCTTGTAGCTGCCCATATAGACCCCCCTTTAAAGGAACCCTATTTCAGGTACAGCACTGCGCTGCACTGGTCCTTAACCCAGCTGGGCGTGGGGCAGACGAACATCGAGGCGGTGAACTTCGCCGCTCCTGGGTCTTGAAATCTTTCGAGCTGCTCGCTTTAGGGTTTTCTTAGGGGTTTTAGGGTTTTTTTAGGGGGTTTTAGGGGTTTTAGGGGTTTTAGGGGTTGAAGGTGTTTAAGGTGTTTAAGGTGTTTAAGGGGTTTTAGGGGTTTAAGGGGTTTAGGGTTTAGAGGATTTCTGAAATGCTTTCTGCCGAGACTAAAGGGGCCTGCACGTACGAGGGGAGCTGTCTGAGCAGTTTTCGGATTCATGCTAGCTGCTAGCTTGTGGAATATCTTCGACGATGCAAGTTCTTGATACTGCCCGCTCCCTCGCATAAAGAAGGTATTCAGGTTCGAGGTGGCATGAGGGCCTCTTCACCAGGGTCTATCAGTGCTCGCTTCCAGATCTCTCGGGGTTGAGCTTGGCCCCTAGCCGAGGAGCGGCTGTTCTCCATCTTCATCACTTTTTGCGCGTTGATCACCTTCTCCACGCTGGTGGGGCGGTGCCGAAAAGCCTAAGTCTGCGGACCTTCGAGGTTTGGGAGGCAGTCCTGAAGCCTGATGATCAACTGTCACAGGCCGCTATATGTCATCCATGTCATCCAGTGACCGAGCGGGTGAAGCATCGAAGACTGAAAGCAAAAGCCCAAAAGTGTCCGATAAGTGGAATGGACCGGAGTACTTCAAATGCCATCCAAGCACCACCTGGAACCAACGCAAGTCGTCTGGCGCGGTGCACTCGGAATTCATTCTCCCCTTACCTTTGTTTGTTGGGCCAGCCTGGCAAACGATCCGAAAGCCAAGGCTAAAAGCTGTGCCTGGACTTGAGGACCAAAAACTCCACCAGAGTTCGACAAGCCTAGAAGAACATGGCATTAAGACCTGAGACCCCAAACCCCATCTATCGGAAAGGTGAGCTCGGTCACGTCTCTGATGGCCAGCCTCCAGCGCCTAAAGACCGAGGAGCGCAATTTGACATTCATACTGTCCGGCCATGATGCTACAGTCGAATCGTATGCTACTGCGGTTTATGGGCCGCTGGAGTTGAGGAGCTGGCTTAGGCGTGGCTGGCTCATGGAGGCTTAGGTGCTTGCCCTTTGTGGTATGACGCTACCCTAAAGCCCCCAACCCCGAGTCTGTGACCCATGGCTGATTAAGCAGAAGTCGGCTGCAAGAGGAGATCGAACAGTTCCGGTCTCTTCGGCGCTTCCTCGTGCTGCTTGGCAGGACGTACTGGCGTGCCGATGTAGGGAACCAATTCCTCCCGTTTTTCAGCAGCTCTTGAAAAGAGCGATTGAATATCCTAAATACGAAGACTTGCCAGCACTGATGCAACAAATACATGTGGCACCTCGAAGGCAAAGGCTTCAGGGCTTGAAAGAGCTTGAGCAGTAGCATTATGGCCGCATGGCTTTTGGATGTCCAGCTGAAAACTACTTCCGTCGGACGCTCCTAGGCTTCATTTGCATCTCAAACCAAAGCATCGATGCTGACAAGAATGGTCCTAACAGCCATACTTATCTGCTCGCCAGTTCAACCATCTCGCCTGGTCAGTCTCTCAGGCAGAACGAGATTCCCGCCGACCTCGGGCATCGGGTTACGCGCTTCCTGCAGTATACCTATGCTTTGAGGCCCCGCAGATGGGAGGTAGCAATGTACACGACGAGCAGCTGGCTCGCGAGGTCAACCAACGCCATTTGCAACTAGCGCACTTAGTGACCGCGACCTGAGCGTCCGTTAAAGCACTCACTGATTGAGCCGGTAAGCTGGCGCCCTGTCTCCTTAAGCCAGAGCTGTGCGAGCAGATTCGTCGCACAGGCACGAGGCGCTGAGCCTTGACTCTCGCCAGCAGCTCGAGAATGCACGAGGTTTGGGTGAGAAGGGTCACCCACAAGCTTAGCCCCACCCCCATCCCATTGGAACTTTGGGAGAACTCCTTGAGCCCTCACGGTGGAGACTGAGGATTCACGGTTCTGAAGTGTAAGTCTAGAGCTATGGTGTTTGGTCGAAGTATCCGTTTCAATCGGCAGTCAGAGGCCCTGAAACATCAGTTCTGAAGTTCAGGATGTTCACCTGCCCATCCTCAACCTGTTGTCCAAGCCCTTGCAAGCGGAGCTCCAACTGGCGAGATACCGGGAGTGTCTGCGCGACTTGGTCGGTTTGTGCAAGTGGGCGCCTGGGGGTTCAGGGAAGGTTTCTGACGAGCAGAAAAGATGCAGTTACTCTTGTCTCTTGTCGAACCAATCGCCACAACCATCACCCCCACAACCATCACACACCCAGCACCTGTAATTACATGCACAAGGACGGACCTGCACCAGCAGCAGGCACCACCACGATGGCTACTATCGCTACCATCCACAATATTGTCTTACTACTACTATTCCGAGGAGGAGGAGGAGGAGGAGGAGGAGGAGGAGGAGGAGGAGGAGGAGGGGGCGAGGAGGAGGAGAGGAGTAGGAGTAGGAGTAGGAGTAGGAGTAGGAGTAGGAGTAGGAGAGCAGTAGCAGTAGCAGTAGCAGTAGCAGTAGCAGTAGGGGTAGGGGTAGGAGCAGAAGCAGGAGTAGGAGTACTGGTAGGAGTAGGAGCAGGAGTTGGAGTAGTAGGAGTAGTAGGAGTAGTAGGAGTGACAGGAGTAAGAGCAGGAGAGATGGAGCAGGAGCAGAAGTCGCAGCAGCAGCGACAGTGGTCATTGGTGGTAGTTGCGGTGGTGGTGGTGGTGGTGGTGGCGGTGCGATTTTTGCTGGTGGTGGTGGTTCGGTTCCGGCCGTGGTCGTGGCCGTGGTCGTGGTTGTCGTCGTGGTAGTGGTGGCGCCAGTCCGCTTGTGGTTATTGTGGTGGTAGTGGTAATGGTCCGAGTAAGGACATTTACCATGAGCATGGCACCATGTGGCATCCTTATGCCCCAAGCATTCAGGCGAGTGCGCCTTCTTTGACCGACTGTTGCAGCACGACAGCTTCCACGTGGTTCCATGGCAGAGCATAGACAGGGCAAGACAGCAGTCAACAAAGATGGTAATGTTTGCAGTGATGGTGAGGATGACGGTTGTGGTGGTGGTGGTGGTGGTGGTGAAAGGCCTAGATGATGTTTGTCGATGAGGACTGACGGTATGGATGTGTCCGAAGGTATGTCTTCACTTGACGAGGATATGGGATGTTCGGCAGTGGTGCAGAAGCTTCACTCAGGTGACCGAGAGACACAAAGCTCCAAGCCCAAAGAAGCGACTCGGGACAGGAGCATCCTACGTTACAAGCGCTCTGGCCCCTGGACCTTGAAGCTGTGCCTCCTGCCACCTTTGAAGAAGCTTTGTTACTCGTACCGTAAACTAAGATCTAGAAACTCCATGTTGCCGACACTGGTGGTGAAGACAGCATCAGGCATCAGGTGGAACCCTGCAACCTGTAAGCGGAAGCCGCAAGAACTATGTTTGTCTCCACCCGCTGCAACGCACATCAAGCTATCCGTGCCTGAGGTCGCAAGCTGGCCAACAACAGCAAACAAAAACCCACGACCGTACCCCAACAAGAAGACACTATCATGGTCACTACCCGTACGCGGCCCGAATGCAGGTCAGGGTGCTTCGGGAGGTGGCGACGGGCTGCCTCAGCCATGCTGCTGCTCGGCCTCCTCAGACATCTGAAGACGGCTAAGATGGAGGGAGGAGGAGAAGAAGACTCCGTATAGCAAAGGGCGCAGAACTTTCTAGGGTCCCCGAAGTGGCGCTGTAGCTTTCTGTCAGGTCTAAACGCAGAATGATTTCGGAGATCCAGGGTCTAAGTTTCAGATTCACGCTTCGGTGTGTCACAGTTCGGGTTTCAGTTTCAGGGTGGCGTGTTTCGGTCCTCAGATGTGGGAGAGCTATGGGTATTATCGGGTTTTTCAGGATGGTTTTTGCAACTTCTAGATTCCCGGCGTAAGCTCGAGATCCTATTGAGTTTGGGGTGTTTCGGATCCACGAGGTTTATATACCAGCTTTGCCAACAACTCTCTGACTAACCTCAGGAGGGACCCAGACTTTTGGGGCTTATCAGATCAGTTGTCCTTTCGTTGTCGCAATTTATTTGGCAATTTGTCGCTGCTAGGCTGCTTCTCCTACTACTAGAACTACATAGCAGCTGGCCGTACTAGCAGTCCCTTGCAGAGCAGTCCTTGCGTCGACGCAGTTCGTCGCAAGAGTCGGCCTGATCAGGTTCTGGCGGCTGGCGATGTGGCCTTCGCAGCCGGGGCTGTGGCCTCCTCCGCATATTTCCTGGCAGGCGGAGCCGTTGCGGGTGGCATCAGGTTTTCAGGGATACGCCGTGCCTGCCCCTGAGGCCCTGGAGTTCTCGTCGAGCCAACTGCTTGAGAAAGTCCTAGCAACAGCCTTCCGAACCCTTATGAGAGCACCCTCACAGTAGCCTTACTAGAGCAGGTCTTCTCCACCAACACAGCTCACGTCCTCCTGGTTAGGTGGTGCATTCTGCTATTCTCGGGAAGGCGTCAGGAGCAGCGTGCTACTGGGCTAGAACTTGTTGGTCTTTGGTTTCCAGCTTTCTGGCGTCCAGCTTGTGACGTGACCTCCATAGTCCCGAACTCTGTCGGGTTTAGCGAGAGGGTTCTTAGACATGAGTCCAAATGGAGGCCGCTCCTGCTCCCCTGTTGCTGGTGCTGCTGCTAGATCTATTACTACTAATGTGGGTGTCGGTTTAATAGTGGGGTCCCCCCCCCCCCCCCGACCAAAAATAAAAAGTCTATTTAATATGGAACCGGTAGCCCCTGGCAGGGAATTGGGAGGTGCCGGGGTTTGGGGGCTGGCTTGGGTGCAGGGTCTGCGGTTCTGCGCGACTGCGCGGTCGGGGGTCGGGGGGGTCTGGGCCAGCGCCTGAAACCCTAAACCCTGAACCCTAAACCCTAACGAATCCTAAACTCCTAGACCCTATAACAAACCCTGAACCCTAAGCCCTAAACCCTTCCAAAGGGGGGTCGGTCCAGATTCGACCCAAAACTTAATTTTTTATACAAACTTTAGTACTGGAGAGGCCTCTTTTGAGCTAGTGTCCAATCCCCGATTCGGCGGTTCACCCTAGCAGCCCCCCCCAATAATCAAGGTATAGTAGAATAGTAGTACAGTAGTAGTACAGTAGTAGTATAATAATAATGCAGTAGTACAATAGTAATACAACAGTAGTACAGTGGTAGTACAATAGTAGTACAGTAGTAGTACAATAATAGTACAGTAGTACAATAGTAGCACAATAGTAGTACATGGAGACTGCATGGGATGGGAGGGTGGAGGGAGCAAGCAGTAGTAGTACAGTAGTAGTACGATTATAGTACCGTAGTACAATAATAGTACAGTAGTAGTACAGTAGTAGTACAATAATAGTGCAGTAGTACAATAGTAATACAACAATAGTACAGTGGTAGTACAATAGTAGTACAGTAGTAGTACGATATCAGTACAGTAGTACAATAGTAGTACAGTAATCGTACAGTAGTAGTACAATAGTAGTACACTAGTAGTACAGTAGTAGTACCACAGCAGTACAGTAGTACAGTAGTAATACAGTAATAGTACAGAAATAGTACCAATAAGCAAAGCATAAAGCCAGTGAGTACATTCCCCCCAATAAGCAAAGCATAAAGCCAGCGCCTGAAACCCTAAACACCGAACCCTAAACCCTAAAGAATCCTACACTCCTAAACCCTATAACAAACCCTGAACCCTAAGCCCTAAACCCTTCCAAAGGGGGGTCGGTCCAGATTCGACCCAAAACTTAATTTTTATACAAACTTTAGTACTGGAGAGGCCTCTTTTGAGCTAGGGTCCAATCCCCGATTCGGCGGTTCACCCTAGCAGCCCCCCCCAATAATCAAGGTATAGTAGAATAGTAGTACAGTAGTAGTACAGTAGTAGTATAATAATAGTGCAGTAATACAATAGTAATACAACAGTAGTACAGTGGTAGTACAATAGTAGTACAGTAGTAGTACAATAATAGTACAGTAGTACAATAGTAGCACAATAGTAGTACAGTAGTAGTACAGTAGTAGTACGATAATAGTACAGTAATAAAATAGTAGTACAGTAGTAGTACAGTAGTAGTACAATAATAGTGAAGTAGTACAATAGTAATACAACAATAGTACAGTGGTAGTACAATAGTAGTACAGTAGTAGTACGATAACAGTACAGTAGTACAATAGTAGTACAGTAATCGTACAGTAGTAGTACAATAGTAGTACACTAGTAGTACAGTAGTAGTACCACAGCAGTACAGTAGTACAGTTGTAATACAGTAATAGTACAGAAATAGTACCAATAAGAAAAGCATAAAGCCAGTGAGTACATTCCCCCCAATAAGCAAAGCATAAAGCCAGCGCCTGAAACCCTAAACCCCGAACCCTAAACCCTAAAGAATCCTACACTCCTAAACCCTATAACAAACCCTGAACCCTAAGCCTTAAACCCTTCCAAAGGGGGGTCGGTCCAGATTCGACCCAAAACTTAATTTTTTATACAAACTTTAGTACTGGAGAGGCCTCTTTTGAGCTAGGGTCCAATCCCCGATTCGGCGGTTCACCCTAGCAGCCCCCCCCAATAATCAAGGTATAGTAGAATAGTAGTACAGTAGTAGTACAGTGGTAGTACAGATTTTCATTCCTGACGCCCCAATAAGCGAAACAATTCTGCAAGAGATTTTCAGGCTTCAGGGCCAGGGTTTTAGGGTTGGGTGGGGGTTTGGGTGGGGGTTCAGGTCGTGGCTGCCTTGAGATTGACCATCAGCAAATAGCACAGCCCCGCCACCAAAAAATCACCCCAGCCAAAAAAAAACGCATTAATTAGTTCACCCCAATTTTTTTGTCAGATTCGGAATTAGCCCCGGAGCCGACGCATTAAAGGGGCCTATATTCCAAAACCGACACCCACATTACTCCATTTATTATGACGATTGGTTATTATTACTACTCCTACTACTATACTACCCACTGCTACGGCTAGCGCAACTATCACTACGACTACAGTTTTTGAGAGCTAAGGTTCTCGGCCTGCGGGTCTCATGAGTCGTCAGTTGTCCATGTTCCGAGGCCTTGCCAGAAGTGGGTCGCGGAGATGTGCCTCTGGACTCCCTGGCTCCATGTCGGGGACCTCGTGTCGGAGGCAGGGTTGTCGGGCTGTTGCCTCTATCCCCGAAGTCAGGGTTTCGGATGCTTCGTAGATCGTAGATTTGAGCGTGCAATTAGGTCAAGTCAGAGATGTTGTAATGTTGTAATCTACAGTTACAATGGAAGTTAGTATGCATGAACGGCGGAGCACTCAAGCTCTACGAAGTCGTCTACTCTTTTGCCACAGTTGCACAACCTGCTCGCACACACAGCCTGCTGGTACCAATATAGTTGGCAGTCACATGACAAGCCCCTGGCATTCGCAATCTTGCAGCAATTGCACTGCTAGCGAAGAATGTTGTAGGAGTTTTGCCCATCGCAGTAGCAAAATGCTTACACTTCCTCGTGCTGACAGGAGCAACGAGTGTCATAAGAGAACAAGTCACAGTTGTAAGTTCATCGCGATCAGTCGGCAGATTCACGCAGATGTTAAACTGCAACAGAGCTGTATCCAAAAGCACAGTGACAGAGTGTCATCAAGATCATGTGCAACTTGATCATGGCAATGCTTGTTGCTTTGGTGGGTCAGGTTGCGCTAGAGGTGAAGGGGCGGGCCCTAAGCCTGTAACCTCCCCAAACCCCCAAAAGCGAAGCTCCAAAGCCTAAATCCCAAACCTCCGAAACCTCTTTGCAAGGAGGTGTCTCGGGTGATTGCCCTGGAAGTCACGAATTTCTGCGAATGCGTCGGCTGGAGCCTGAGACAGTCTCCCTCAGCCTGCTACAGACCCTCAAGTAAGAGAGTAAGAGGATCCTTCATGCACAGAACCTAAAGCCGGATCGTGTGTTTTTCTGAAACCCCCTTGTTTGTTGCAGGGGTGACCTTCAACTTTTGTAGAGTTTCATTCATACAATACAGCGATGTGAATCCAGAAACGGAATCCTCAACTCTGCCGCCGCATGCAGCCTCATGGAACAGCTGCGTGCAGGGTCATCTATCAAAGTGTCAGGCAAAGTCCTCGAATCGAAGATGCTGGGAGCTGCCTATGCCGAGGACGGCTTCAGTTCTCGGGTTCGTGTGAGGTTTTTGGTGGTGCGGGTTAGGTTGGCTTCTCCGGGTTTGAGTTTTCTTCCGCCATCCGGCTCAAGAGTGCTGAAGTTTGTTGGTTCTGTTGTGCCCGGGTGTGGGTTCCTTATTGTTATAGTTATAGTATACTTTCCCCACAACCCTATTCTGATTATTAATGCCCCTACATTAGCATTGCAGCATGGGCAGCTCCGGCGATCACTCCGCCCGCGAAGCACTGCTCGTCACCTCAAAGCCCTGCTCAACCCTTATCAGCCCGGAGGAGTACGTTGCGAACCTGAACTCGCAACTTCAATGGAGCGACGTTTGGTTCTACGATGATGCCATTCGGCCGGCAAAGCCTCTGGGTTCTGGGGTTGCCAGTGCTACTTAATCAAAGTCGTGATATCGTTGACATGTGATAACCATCGTCGTATTGGGTACTGCCTGCTTTTCTCAAACGGCCCACTGGTAGCAGCCCGTGCTGGCAGCAGAGGCATTAGCAGTACCAGACGACGTCGGTTTCAACGTAGTGATACCATGATCAGCAAAAGTCATGGCATGGTTCTCAGAGGTGAAATCAGAGAAGTATCTGGCGGAGGAAGAACAGCCAGCAATGAATGAGGATGAGAACAGTACCTGGAGCGATAGCATGACTAGGACCCTTGAATCTGACAATTGTGATGGGATCATGAAGCCGCAATGGTCGTAGTGGGGTGCAGTAGCGACAAGAATCGTAAGCCATCAACGTAAACATTCAGCAACAAGGCTGATAATGGCAGGCATGCAAGTAGATACCATCTATCTCAGCAGCATCAGCATCGGTATTAGCATCAGCATCATCAGCATCCTTATACACTGACGGAGCCACACTCCTCACTGCAGCTGTTGTGCTCGCAATCGACGGAACAGGCCAAGCTGGTACATAGCAAGAGGAGAAGGAGTATATGTATGTAGTTATAGCAGCATGATTGGAAGCACCTCACCAGCAACAACTCTCATGAGAGCACCCGGAGTCTTAGCAGCAGTGCTGTGGCCACACTTGACACAACACTGCATGGATAGTAGAACTTGACAAGGTATCTCGAATGGCTTGTGGCTGTGTTTTCGCGCTTCGATGTCAGGACCGAGCCGAACATGCCGCCACCGCTGTTTCGACGCGGCCTGCGCTTCTTTCCGCAAAGACATGCTTCTGCGGGCATGCGTCGTACTACACTTTACTTGTACGTTGTGGTACATGGATGGAATGTTGCATCTACGCGGCTGGTCCACAATACATGTTATCAAACTTTCGACATCTAACTCGTGCTGATGTACCTTGCGACAGTTGCAATACTTGGGTACATAATTACATAGATGCCTTTTCACCAGATGCTGTAGCACGGTATGGCAATGTGCCAGTCTGTCATTAGTACTAGCTGGCATAGTTTGCTTCTTCTTGTGTCATTCCTTCAGTCCGACTATGTGCGTTATCCGAGTAGATGTTGCGACCAAATGGACTGAGTGACTCGCATTCCCATCGTCTCTACGTGGTGCACACTGGATGTATTGCCTGCATCCGTGCGCATACACAACCAGTGCTCGAGCCGTTGCCGATAGTCTGGGTGACGTCGCTTGTATCAGCCCTGGTTCTGCGACTGCACAAACGCGAGTTTTTGCGTGAGTAATCAACGTTTTCCACCGGCTATTGCCTTAGCTACAGCAGCATGAGGAATCTCAGTAATACCATTGGCACACCGGTCCAACATGATCTGTACAATCTGTAATGAACTGGGCACTGCACTTGACATGCTGATAAAACTTCTTCGTACAATGCCTTCTATCATGTTTTTTGGGCAGCTCCTGTCTTACCGATCTCAAGCGGGCTGTGTCAGTCTCTCCGAGTTCTTATCTGCGACGAGTGCAATCCAAGGATCCTGAAACCGCGAACAGATTACGTGGGTGTCCAACATGTACAAAGGGAACTGATTTAGGTTATGTCTTAGCCTCCACAATCCATGTGGATACACATTCTGGTCGGCCCAAACCATTCCCCGAAATAATGAGGTGCTGATTCAACTTTTGCGATGCGCCTCGTGGCTCCCCAATGCTGAAGCAGAACCCAAAAGTGAGGTGGAACCCAGGTTTAGAGCGCAGACTCAGGTCAGAGCTACCGTTGGTAATCCAAAGTCTGCCGCTTGTTCTGAGACGTGAAATGATTGCATCGATGTTGCTTAATGGTGATGCTCATGGTGATGGTGACGGCGAGGACGAGAATGGTGATGAGGTGGTGATGATGATGATGATGATGTTGGCGATAACGATGGTGATGATGATGATGATGATGATGATGATGATGATGTCGATGTTGATGATGATGTTGGTGTTGACGGTCATGTGGTGGTGCTGTCGGTGCTTGTGATGCTGCCGTCAGTGATTGTGATGATGATAGCGAGGATGGCAATCTTTCGTGCAAATTTCAGGTGCCGAGACCGCGATGCTGTGGCACGTCACGACGCCGGTGGTTTGGCTCTGTTGTGGGGTAATGCTTCGGGGGCTTCAGGCTTGCATAGAGCCTTAGCTGATAGTGCTTTTGGTGTTGGGATGCCCCTCATGTCAAGAGGCCGTTCGGGAATCCAGGGGCTGGATACGCAGGTTTTCTGGGTTTCCCTTGACCGCGAGATGGGCAGTCAACTGTTGGTCGATCTGGGTGACTCAGAATCATGATTATCATGTCACGCCCAACATATTCAAGCCATTGCTTCTGAACATTATCAGCTGTCTCAGGAAGAATCGTGTCAATCCCATCGTCCCTGCTGCTGCCTTGGGCTGAGGACTCCCGAAGGCTTTGAGAGCTTGCAAGGCTTTTGGGTTCCTGTCCTGAAGCTTTACGATGCTACTGCACGGATTTTCACGCGTGGCGTTGCGAACATCTGTAATCTTGCAGAGGTCGGCCACTTTAACCCACACCCTGAGCCTGTCAGGTTGTCTCAGTTTGACACTGACTCAGTTAGACTGAGTCAGATTCAGTCAGATCATATGAACCATGTACGTTATCATATGCCCACACGGCACGACGACCTCATGGGGGACAACTGTAGAAGACGGGCAGAAAGGAGCTAGGCACCTCAATGAGGGGCACATGACAAGGAAAGATGTACGTTGCACCGGGAACAGTGCGCGAGTCGGACTTGAACCTATTGGGTTTGGGATATCAGGGTCAATGCTGGTCAATGTAGATGTAGCTGCAAACGTACGTACGCATACAAGCATGCATGGATGTGTGGACAGCATGTGCATACACATGTGTGCTGTCACGAAGATCTACACTGCGTGTACAGTCTGTCACAGTATTGGAGCTGTATAAACCTTTGCCTCAGGACGCTTGGGTTTCTGGGAGGCGCAGCGGGTGTCGGCCAAAGTAGCCGCACACAAGACCGTCATGCAGAGATCGGAAAGGCCCGGCTTCACATGTCGAGCCGTGCCGGCCTCGTCCAAATCGTGCAATGGCCGCTATTGGACTGTAGTTTTCCGGACCCGTTGTGGGAGAGGAAGATTTTCTCCTCATTCCATCTACCCGGAATCTTCATACTCCAGGCCCTAAACCAGGGCTTCGGGTTCAGGGTTTCAGGGGGAGGCGTCACAAGAGCGCCTCGCATGAAAGAGCTTGGAGCTTCCGAGCGGCGGGACAAAGCGAACAGCTCAAGCTTGCAAGTCTTGGATCTTCCGGTCGGAGTTTCGGGGACTAAGAAGGGATCCTAGCATAACACCTACATAAATTTCGTGACTGATCGGAGCCCCCCGAAAAAAAGGCACCTCATTCCTTTTGCCGCGAAGCTGTGGGTCGAATCAGGGAGATCTTGGGGCCTTCGAGGTGTACCCATGAGCTGACAGGTGTCGCACTCGAGCGTGTCCTAATTAGCGTGGCTTCTCTTATTTCATGTTCGTTCCCAGAGTTACTTAGTTTGCACAGCGGTTCAGGTTTTCAGACACCAGGTTGGCACCAGAACGACTCGCTTGTCCAGCAGTGCCCAGTGAAGAGATCACAGATCTCCAGACAGATCATGGATATATCTCAGCCCCGCCCGCTTGCCAGACTTTTTCGACTGAGGAAGTCGAGACTCGTACACCCATGCCGCGTCCATGAAGACAGACACACCAAAACCCTATCCGTAGCAAACCCGAGTCCCAAGTCCGCCGCCCCCTCTCTGCCTAGTCGCTGTCAGAGACAGGCAGACTTAGACAGCTCTTATCGTCTGTGCCTTGACAGGTGCATCGAGCCGTGCTGCCCTCTACCGGGGCCGCGAACTCAACCTAAGTGATGTGTTATGAGAGCCCTGAGCATGGAGATCGATGTCGAGTATGATGCTCGTCGAAACTGTTTCTCTGTCCTCCCTCCTCGGCCTCAAGCCGTCGTCTGGATGCAGTCCCTGCGACCCGCTGCCCGGAACCCTTCGATCAATGCAAGAAGGTAGCTCGAATGTACTGATTTGTTACATCTATCTGTTTACCTATCTAATCTGCCTGGCGAGCTATCTACGTATCTATCTCTATCTATCCACCAATCCAACACAGGAAGCCTATGCCGTCAAGGTCATGGAGATGCTTGGCTGATAATGACTGAAAGCAACATCAAAGTTAAGTTGAAAGGGCTCTAAGCAAGGAAGCATGCAAGACAGTTGATAACATTTGGCTACATGATGTCATTTGTCGGGGGTCTTTGCTGCAGTCAGAGATCAGGTTCGGGGTTCCAGGCTAGCTTCATGATTCATCGTACAGGCTTCAGGGCGCCTCTGACATGGTGTCAACATGGGAGATGGCGATGTCAGACAATTCGAGTTGCATCTCCGGCTGTAACTTGCTTCACGTTTGCCGCGTGCAGCGGACAGGTGTTGATGCGTGTAGGTGGTGAAAGTAAATTAACATGAGTTCACAAATACGTACATTGACATACATGCATATATATATATATATAGAGCATACCTATATACAAGTTTGTGTATAAGTGCACTTGCATGTAGTATCAAGTGCATACGCACGTAGCAGGTTGATTCAGGTTGATTCCTTATACGACTAGATGGGAGGTGCAGGTACATGTCCACACATGCATGCATTGACCCGTATGTTGAACGGCCTAGATGCTGGCGTGCACGAGCACATCTACTCTTTGTCTTTCTGTCTGTCTTTGTGTACGTGTATGTATGTACCGATGTACATATGTATCGATGTATGTATGTATGTATGTATGTATGTACATATATATATATATATATGAATAACTATCTGCATATACACATACATGCATGCGCAGACATACATGTATATATATATATGTATATATATATATATGAATAACTATCTGCATATACACATACATGCATGCGCAGACATATGTATATATATATATATACACATGTCCTACACATACATTGGTAGGCAAAGGTGTATTTAGTTAACAGAGAGACATCGACACAAAGAGACTGAAATACAGGTGAGTGTGGGAGAGGAGCGCCCAGCAGAAAGAACGAGAAAAAAAAGAACCGGGTAGAGCGCCTCAGGAGGAGAGGGAAATATGGCGATCTGAAACGCCAAGCTGTGCTAGGGCTGCTAGGGCATGTGTCAAGGTTCATGCTGTTCCTGCACTCAGGATATGTATAGAGGCAGAAGAAGCCGCGAATGTCAAGGCGGGGTCACTGTCGTTGGCTGTAATTGCACGGCTTCTCCCCTGCTGCTATTGCTGCTCCTGCTACCACCGCGACGACGAAGACTACTAGTACTACTGCTGCTACTACGATTACTGCTACTTCCTGCCACTGCTGCTGCTGCTGCTATTGCTGCTGATCTTCGATGCGAAGCAGTGTGCGGATATCGCATGCTGATATGATCTCATGTTGCAAAAAGTTGGGAGGTTCGGGCGGGAAGCCCGCACACACTTCCAAGCCCTTGCCTCCAAGGCAGCCGTGTCCAAGTCGGAGAACAAACAGCGTGCTTGCAGCTGTTTCACAAACGCGTACTTAGGTGCAGGCGGTCTCTTCAGTTTTCGCCTCGCACGCATGTATGACGCAACTCAAGCACAAATCTCTCTGTCCACAAATCCTCCAGCCTACCCCCCGGACACAAGCTTCAACGCATGGAGATCGAAAAAGAGCATGTGTTCTGACACAGCGAGCAAGGCCAATTTGCGGAGCTGTAGACCCGAGCTCCTGCATTGGACGCTGCAACTGCCTTTGCCGATGCACACTAGCAGAGCAGATTCATCTGCCGATGTGCACAGAAACAACTCCCTTCTCAGTCCCCACGGTGCCTTTGCGAACCTGCTTCGCTGTCCACAGCGAAGATACAAGTGCAGGAGACTCCAGCATACCGCACCATGGAGCAGGAGGTGAACGTGCTGCGTGCCATGCTCCCAGAGCGGATGTGGAGAGTTTGTAGGTGGGAGGGAATGCTTGGGTCTTGTCGGAATCAAACTTGAGGCACATGGTGCAAACTCTGGTTAATTCTTTCCGGCTGCCTCGATGGAGGAGCCATTCCCGAGTAGAACGGCAGGCTTTGCAGGTGTTGCCAAGGAGTGCGAGCTGACAGGTCACAGTGTAACCCAGAGATGTCAGCGTTGTGGCTCAACCGAGACGAACATATCACCAAACAAACCTAAGTCCAGCAGATGCCAATGCGTGCCGAGAGACAGTTCTTTTTCGCAGATCAGTCCATCATTTGGCAGACACCCTCCACAAGAACCCCAGCCTGTCGGAATCCCTAAGCCGTTAGTGCTGCCGCGGCCCACCCGCCTCAGCCATGGGAAGCGATGTTCGAGACGAAGTGCCTGAACCGATAGGAAAGGCTTGGCCGACCAAGCCTGAGATCGTTGAACCTTCCGTGCTGGTTTGCCCGATCACACAGACGATGCCCCTGGGTGACGATGGAAAGTAAGAACTCATGCTGTATAGTTATGTAGAGCCTAGAGTCGACATGGGCATCGAAGCTGTGAGATTCCCCAGGTACCGCGACCCGGTCTTCGTTCCTGAGAGTGGCAACACCTACGAGCGTCATGCGCTGGAGCAGTACTGGGAGACCTGCGTGCCGCCGCGGGACCCCTTGACCAACACCGTGCTGCAGCAGCGGACGGTGTACACGAACTGGGGAATCCGAAGGGAGGCGATGAGGGTCAAAAGATGGGAGTTACCAGCATAGCGCGCCGTGCTTTTCTCGCACACACTGCCCCTTCATGACTGCAAATTGCAGGTTCAAGGCTTCCTGGAGCAGCACCCGAGCTATTTGCCCCAGGGCTGGGAGACGAGAGCCGTCCCCCGGCTCCCAGAGAAAGCGCCCACCAGCTCCCGGCCGCCCCGGGGGGCAAGGCTGAAGAGGACCTTGAGGGTTTGGCTTGGCATTCAATGATGCGACGAATGCGGTCTTTTAATGTCATCAGATATGATGTGGCAGTGCCTCCGCTGTTGCTGTATGATGGCCTCACGGATAGAGCAGGAATTTGTTGAGATGATGTCGTGCGATACGTCTATGTATATTCAATTTTAGTTGTACATACGTATGCTTTATGCTGTGAAATGACCCTGCGTGGTGTGATCTACTAAGATCTTAAATGTGCAGAGATATCTCGCCCGAGGCAAACTCCCAGCCCGGTGCAGCGCTTGACTTAAATGCCTCTTTAACAGTATTCGCACGTCCGCCGCTGTGAAGGACTTGCCTTTGCGTCCTCACCGTCGTGGGCTCACTCGCAGTGGTGTCCTGTCCGTGTGAGTGGGGTGCTGCACATGTTGGGGCCCTCTCTAGAGTAGGTTTTAGACAAGCCTCTGCGCTTTGAGTGAGGCCGTGCCCGAATGCACGAAGGCTCAAGGCCAATCCTGTCCGCAACCCAAAACTCTAAACTTCCAAGCCCTGACCTTGCAAGCCCTGAGACCCAAGCCCCAATTTCCATGAGCAGCGAATGGGCGCTTCGCGCCAAGCCTGGGTTAGCATTTCCCAGAGAGAAAAGGCGTCTAGCTGGTTGCAGCCTCCCCCCGACATCCCTCCAGCTTGTCCCCCAGAGCGGCCGAATACCTTTTGCGCACATGTAAACGTGCGCAATCTTCTGTCTGGACAAGAGAAGTAGGGCCCCTCAGGTGGTGCACCAAGTCTACGAGGAGTCTTTCTGGCCTCGGCTGTCGATTGCCGAGGACCTCGCCGACCAGGGGCCTTACCTGAAGGTCCCCAAGGCCCAAGGGTTTGAAGGACTAGGGATTTGGGGCTTTAAGGGATTCAGGGATTGGGGCTCTAGGGGTTTGAGGGTTTAGTTTTTGTTTCAATTTGGGCCTTGAAGCGTAGTAGGACGCAGGTAGTCCTTGTTTGGCCCGGACAGCCGGCTCCTGGACTAAGCCCTCTCGTGTGTGTGTGTGTGTGTGTGTGTGTGTGTGTGTGTGTGTAATACACAAGTATACACATATTATATGTTCATATACTTTATATAGTTTGTATATATACATACATGTATGTATGTACATGCGTAGACAGACGGATGGATGCATGGATGGATGCGCAACATAGATAGAGAGGCAGTGCAAATAGACGAACAGATCGACAACCAGGCAGACAGATAGGGACGGACAGGTCATGTATACATGCATACATGTATGCATACATACACACATAAATACATACTCAGGCCTCCACATATGTATATACACCTATGTATGTATACATATATATATATATATATATGTATATATATATATATGTATATACACACACATGCACATACAGTTCCTGCAAGAAAGACTCAGATCGAAGCCTGCGATCTTGAAAAGACGCTTCCAGGGCTCCAGGCTCGAAGCCCGCGAGGTGAACGGCCGCCTCATTGCGACTTGGTGGCTTCAAAGACGAATACTATGTTGTAGTATATTATCTGTACTACATTATGTGGAATGGGGTTCTGTAGGCTTCGAGAGGGCGAGTGGCATATGGGCAGTTTGAAACGGCTATTGGGTTCAGTTTGGGTTGCTTCTACATTGCGGTTGGGGGCGGGGCCTTGATGGTTAGAGAGTTACATGGTGGCTCATAGCAGTTGCAAGGGCGAGAGGCACTTGTAGCTTCACGGGTGTGGTGTCAGCAGCTGGAGATGCAGGTTCATGCGGCAAGGGGGCAGGAACATTCTCGTGAACATCCACACTGCTCGCTTGGAGCCAGCATCACTAGAAGTTTGCTTCGGAGCTCATGGTTCATGCGGCAAACTATTTATAGCTCCATGGCGGTGATCGATCGCGGTAGGAATCGATGCCCGGTAGCAGCAAGTACCAGCAGCTGTCACCCTGGTGCCTTGCATTTGTCCGAGTAGTAGTCGCAGCAGGAGCAAGCGGAGGAGGAGGATTAGTGATTTAGTGTTACCATTTTACCTACACCTGCTGCCACGACTGCTATAACTAGTACTACTACTACTACTACTACTACTACTACTACTACTACTACTACTACTACTACTACTACTACTACTACTACTACTACTACTACTACTACTATTTTCAATTGAACGCTGCGCGAGCGTGCTCTGCGCTTTGCGGGCGCCTTTGGTCCCGTGCACTCGTGAAACTGGTTACCTGCTAGCATTCATCGCTCATATTCCTCTCAGACTACTCAGTTAACTAAAGTTGCGTCTATGGCTTCCTCCTCCGCCACCTTGTTGTGAGCAGACGCGTCCGTCTGTGCACCTGTCTCAGCAATTAGGTCGTACTTCGGGCGAAGCCAGGCGCCTTGAGTATCCGTCTTGTGGCGTCCCACACGGATTACTCATGCTGGAGACAGAAGGCCGTAAGGGTCACATGTGCGTACCTGCAGAGCTGAGTGAGTCGAACAGCTGACAGCTGACTGACCTTATCGGCTCAGGCGAAGTGCAGAATCCTGTATTTTGCCGTGGCTAGCGCTCTGCACTACAGCTCCCGAAGAGATTTGCAAGAGCGTCGGAAGAGCACCGAATTCCCAGAGGCTGTGCCATACGGGATTTGAGGAGTCTGTGACATTGCCCTGAATTCACTGATTGTGACCTTGCGGCCACTGCTGTGAAGACTGGTAGTACCCGTGCCAGGACCATTGTCGCCACCAGTCCCAATCTTCCTCTTGAGGTGGGCGTGCCGGTCTTGCCCATTGGCTCGAGGAGGAGGACGAGGGGGCATCGCGTTGGCGTTTACCCTCAGTGTCAGCCTCCCGCACCTGCGGGCGCTTGTTGGGTGCGGCAGCCGCAGCCAGTCGAGCCATGCGCTTGTCCTCTTCAAACCCCTTGTCATGCTGAATCCGCATCTTCATGATGGAGTGAGCATCTTTCATGGGTTTGAGCTTGAACATCCTGGCTGGGAGTCCAGCTGATTTTGCCGCTTTGTTATAGACCGTCATCATGGAAGTGGCAATCATGTTGAACTCGACCCGCGTGGGGAAGTGGCGTTGGAACTCTTTCTCATCCCACATCCTGTTGAAGCATGCATGGATTAGACCATGCACCTTAGTGGGGGCGTCCAGTTCCTGATAGGCTTCTCCGGAGCCTGTGGCAATGGTGACCCGTCCGTCATTGGTAAGGACTCTGCGCACAGACATGGCGGTATCCCAGGTGAGGCCGGACTGAGTCTTTACCAACTTGATGGCTGAGAAAAGCGGAGGCACCTGGCTGAGAGCCGCCACCCGTGTGGACCAGAGGTTCTGCTGCTCCTGGTTGGTAAGACCTCCAAGAATAACTGGGGCCACCAGAATATTGATGGAAGCCAGTGCTCGAATCCAGTCCTGGTGAGATGGGGAGCTCAGCAGAAGAGCGAGCTCCAACCTGGTATATTTGACAACCGTTTGGGGAGCGGGTTGTGGAACATAGCCAACTGGCTGAGCATTCTTTGCCGGGGGCTCGTAAGCTGACGGGGGGCGGGAGGAGGGGGGAGGCGTGAGATTACGCTGGGAGGCGGACTGCTCGTGAGGTGGGGAAACTGCCTTGGGGGATGAGGGGGAACCGGGGAAGCTGGGATAGCTGGAGGGGGAGCCGGCGCCGTAGGCAAAGAGGAGCTGGCGGGGCTGGTGACAGTCGCCGTGCCTGGTGGGGCCTTAGCCGGAAGGACGGGGGTCACCACCTGTGACTTCGCCTGGCTCTCCTGGAAAGCCGCTTTCTCTGCCGCTGTGGAGGTAAAGGGGCAGGGAGGGGAAGGCGGAGGTTCAAAGCCGGCGGCTTTGTCTATCCCTTTGGTGCGGGTACGGCTGGGAGGGAGAGGGATCTCCTGTGGTGGCACGGGCTTGGGAGGTGGAGGTGGGCAGGGCGCAGAGGCAGTGGCCGCCCGAGCTCCTTGTGCAGCAGGCTGTGACACAGGGTCATGCTTCTGCGTGACAAAATGGTTCTTGATGCCGTGGCCAGTGCTGAACTGAACATTGCGGTTGTGCTTTCGACAGTGGAGGCAACATAACCACATTGCTCCGGAGACCTCCATTTGGCCTAGTCCTCGAGGGATGAGTTCCAGCACATCCTGCTCCGTAAGGTCTTGATTATAGTAGTGGGTGTCGCGGACGGTGGCCATAATCTCCGCAAAGGAGTTGTTCTGGGTGCTGTCCGCCACATACGTTTCGATTTCCTCCTGTGTAGGAGGAGGAGGAGCCGCTGTGGCCTTAGCCGTGGTCTGTGACCTAGGCGGCTGGGTGGAGCTGTGCTCTATGGGCCTAGTGTCAACCTGGATTTCCAGAGAAATATCTGGAACTTGACTTTGCAGCATCCGATCCGTTCGCTCCTTTGTGGTGGGATCTCCCTGGAATCCCTTCTGCCACTTCCAGCATCTGGTGTAGGCGATCGTGGTGCGATTGGCTGACACGAAGAAATGGCCATCATTGTCATAGGTCTTGTTCTTCACGCGCCTGTCCCAGCACTCCTGCAGCAAGTAGACAGGGCCGAACTTGCCGGAGACGTTCCAGCCGGGTTGTGGGGTATGGCCAAAATCCCGGCCCAAGATCTGCCAGAGAAACTTGCAGAAGGTCATGTAATCCAGATTGGCCTTTGCCGTCAGGACCTGACGGCTGAAAGCGTGCTGTATGGCTTCCCTCATCAGAGGATGGCGGGGCTTGCCATAGATGATGCCCTGAAAAATATGGTCTGCTTTGACTCCTATGGCCATGACCATGAACTCCTGTGGAAGTTGGCTAGGTGGGGAGGGTCTGTGACCCACTTCGCCTGCCCTTTGTGAATGAGCTGTGCTCCAATCTGCTGCCATGAGTTGCAGTACCTGCTCCCAAGGTACCACAAAGCCACATTTGATATCCACATATAGGCCTCCGCGCTGATAATGGTAAACGTAGCGGAAAACGTCAGCCCGATGAGCTGGCTGATTGAGGCGGTCCAGCAGATTGGAGCCATATTTCCCTGCAAGTTTCACCAGGGTGGCACCGAGAACTCCGTCATCGCAGAATTCGCGGGTAAAGCCCGCGAACATCTTGGCCGCAACTTGCGCAGGCTCGGGCTTTTCGTCGTGCACGTAGGTCTGGAATAGAATCTGCGGGACAGGAGTTTCTGCCAGCTCCGGGAGATGCAAAAAGCGCATGCCCCAGGGCCCATGTCCGTACTGCATGGCCACTTCAGAGAGGTCGCGGACTGTGCGGCACTGGGACAATGCCTGGGCTGCCAGCATTTCGACATGCATGTCTTGCTGACGGGCTGCTGCTGCTGCTGCTGCTGTTTAACTACTACTGCTACGACGACTACTGCTGCTACTACTACTACTACTACTACTACTACGACTACTGCTACTACTACTACTACTGCTACTACTACTACTACTACTACTACTACTTCTACTTCTACTTCTACTTCTACTTCTACTTCTACTTCTACTTCTACTTCTACTTCTACTTCTACTTCTACTTCTACTTCTACTTCTACTTCTACTTCTACTTCTACTGCTACGACTACTACCACTGCTGCTGCTGCTACTACTGCTTCTTGTTCTTCTTCTGCTACTTTACTACTGCTACTACTACTGCGACGACAACAACAACAATACTACTACTACTACTACTACTACTACTACTACTACTACTACTACTACTACTACTACTACTACTACTCCTACTGCTACTACTACTCCTACTGCTACTGCTACTGCTACTGCTACTGCTACTGCTACTGCTACTGCTACTGCTACTGCTACTGCTACTGCTGATGCTACTGCTGCTACTGCTACTGCTACTGTTGCTGCTACTGCTGCTGCTACTGCTACTGCTACTGCTACTGCTACTGCTACTGCTACTGCTACTGCTACTGCTACTGCTACTGCTACTGCTACTGCTACTACTGCTACTACTGCTATTACTACTACTACAACTCCTCCTCCTCCTGCTGCTGCTGCTGCCGCTGCTACGACGAGGACCACTACTACGTTACGTCCACTACGATTGCTACAACTACTGATGCGTATATTATTACAAACACTTTGCTGCTACTCCTAATGCAAATGCTAACGATTATTCTCCTACAAGTACATCTGCCGCTACTCCAACTGCTATACGGCCGCAGCAGCAGCAGCAGGAGGAGGAGGAGGAAGAGGAGGAGGAGGAGGAGTAGTAATTACACCGGGCAACAGCAGCAGCGGCACCGCAACACACACACACACACAGACACATTTACCTGACGACAACCACAGCGACGACAAAAACGACAACGATGCCAACAGCGGCTCGAGCAAGGACCATGCTACTTCAAGTCGTAAGACAGGGCTTAATTTAAGGTGCAGTACCCTGCATCAGAGAGCTTGCAAGGCTTCTAGTTAGTATTGAACCTAGCAGAGGATTGTGATTTAGTTTTGAAGTCCTGAAGTCTTTCAAGGGCCCTTTTGACGGCCAGAGGAGGCCTCGACTCGTTCGATTCCTGAAGCCCCGGACCCGAGCATGCCCAGGTAAAGATCCCACCACCCGGTCTTCGGCTTGACATTTTGGGGCAGGCCCATGGCTTCGGGGCTCGTTTAGGATGCATTTAGGGTTTAGGGTCCTGCCAATGTGCCACTGAGCAGTTTCGTCCCGCAATGAATTCTTGTAGGAGTATGGACCCGCCTGTGTGCCAGGGGAAGTGCCGAATGAGAGTTGGATCCAAACGTCCATTCACCCCCGCCGCAGCATCTGCTGTTTGATGCCAGCAGAAAAAACAGAGCCGTCCGCCTGGCAGGTCTTGTTCTCCATTCTGTGGCTCTCGTTCGTCTGCTACTGGACCATTGCAGCCGTCAGCAGCGGAGTGCTTTCTCGGATATCACAGATTTGGCATCCACATTTGCAGTTTGCTGAGGGATAGGCGATGTTCTCGGTGGTTCCATCGTTCGGTGCTGCTTCGGGTCGCTAGGTAGACTCTGCGGTGGTCCTGTGTCCCCACGAAGTCCAGACACCAGTCCCAAAGTGTCCAAAGCCGGAGGCCATTAAATTGAACCCTAAACCACACACCCGAAATCCCAAAAACCGAAGCCCTAAACCCTACACCCTAGATCGGACTCCAATCGGGGCCTCCAAAAGGTGCCTTGGACCTTCATCCCCTTCTCGCTGCCCTTTTGGGCCGTCGGCTTCATGTTGCTGCCCCTTTTGGCTGCATATTCGGTGCCGTACGGAGACAGGCCGTAATGTCCACAAGAGGTGGCACCAAAAAGTGCGTTCTGATTGTTTTTTGCCCTGCAAACGAAACGAATCCTTTCCATGGCCTCTTTCGAAAAGGCTCGGTTCTGGTGGAGGAGCGATCAGGGTGGATGGTTCTGCGAGTTCAGCTTTGTGATTGCCGTCTGTAGTGCTCCCGTGGTCTTGAGTTGAGAGGCCGATGGTGTTTGGGATGTTGGGATCTTCATAGAGTTTACAGCGCCATAGGACTAGGAGTCGACTCCTGGTGCGAACTTTCGAAAAGAAGCTTAGCTGCAACAGGCCAGATGGCCCTCGGGCCCCTCCCAGGTTCAGCACCATCTTGACCCCCAGCCTCTCACAAACGCTGATTGCCGGCTCCGCCGACTATCAGGCCGCCCGCCCAGTTTGAAGAATGATGCGGGCAATGATCCTAGAGCAAAAAGATTGCGGAGGAGCATCGGAATACTGCTGTCAGGTGAAACATGACATAAAACATCTTGAGTTTCAGGACTTCTGCATCTTCGGGGCTTGAAGTCCCTGGCAGACATGAGGCAACAGGTTTCAGCTGCCCCCAAGAAGGTGATAGCATCCCCACACGCGGAGGTTCTAAGCCCCAAGGTCTCGTGAGGTGGAAGAACAGCTTGCATCAGACTAGCTCTAGCCTCAACGGCTTCTAGACTAAACGTTAGGCCGTGGTACATTCCAGACTAAACCCAGAAGCACATACACCCCAATAGCTTGGAGACGATGGCTTAGAAGCCATACTAATACTAATACTAATACTAATACTAGTACTAATAGCAATACTGATACTGATACCAATACCATACTAATGCTAATACTAATACTAATACTAATACGAATACTTCTGGCACAGGTGACATCTCAGGTCTCTCGCCTGTCACTTTCGCAAGTGACTGCCAACGTGACCGACCTCCAGGCGACTGGGACATGAGAGAGGCCCATGAGAGCTCTTTGAGGCCCTTAAGAGCTGTTTTGAGGCTTTCTGTGAGGGTTCTCTGCTTTAGGGGGCCTGAATATTTGTAATGGGGCTTTCGACTACATTGCAGTATACTTCATGTGGGAAGATGGCCATTTATCAATCCGTTTCGTACTTGCATCAGATAGCTGCTATAAGCCTGTGTTACCAGCAGCTCTTTCGTGTACCAACCTTTATCATTACTGTTCAGAACAGGCTGAGCCATCTTCCTTCTAGAAGACCATACCCGCCAGCATGCACATGCAGAAGCAGATGGTGTAGGGGCTCAGGGTTTAGGGTCCCCGACTAAACCTTAAGCTAGTCCAGTCCATCTCAGGAGAACCCCGGCGTCCTGTGCATCTCTGATGCAGACTGCCGGCCGCTGGGCTCAGGATGTTGTACTGGCTTCAACAGTGGAGGGTTTGGGTTTCAAAGAGGTTTTGGCTTGGGGTGCTGGGCTCATGTTATCCAAAGTAAACCCGAACGAGGTGGAGACCTGAGCCGGGATGGTTATGCTGTAACCCGGCTTTACTTCACCCTTGCGGGTTCAAATGACTTAACCTCAAGCCATTCACCTTAGCACCCTGCCCCGGATATGTACGGGTCTGCCAAGTCTCCGATTCCCCAGTCCCAGCACCATTGAGCAGTATCAGAATGTCAGGGACTCTGAATTTAGATCCTAAATAGTAGGATCCTTACTATCCTTCGCCTTAAATCTGAAGCACTGTGTTTTATGTCGAGGCTGGTACTGCAGGACGGTGTGCAGGAGGTCCCACGTGTCGGAGTGGTGGGGTTGGGGTTTGGGGCAACACTGCATTACCAAGTGTCTATTGGCCACGTCTTGTCAGTGGATGATGACAAGAGAGATTTGCTATTTCCGGGATCCCTGAAGTTCCACATCCTTTAGCGGGACAACCATAGACAGAGTGTCGCGGGTTGACGGGATGGTTTGACGATTCCAGGCGCTGCTACGGTTCATCCCTAGGCGTCATCGATGCAGCGGCAGAAGTGCACAGTAAGCACCTTCCACACTTCTGGGCCCTAGAAGGAACACTAGCGCAGCGCCTGCTCAAGGCTTTGGCCATTCTGTGAATTGCAACTCGGTGGTGGCGGGGCACTCGCCTGTTAAGAATGCATCATGCAAGCACCCGCTGAGCAGGAGCAGTTGCCTGTCCAGTCAGTACGTAGTTCCTTCCAGATTTGTTCGGCCTGGGGTCTGGAGCCTTAAGCCTGTACTCGTACATTCCAAACCCTGAAACCCCTGCAGCCCCAAAACCCTGAACCCGTTATCCTATTCACTTATAGCAATCCCAGATGGTAGTCTACAAGCACAGTGACGTAGGAACCCTTATCGTAAACACAGTAACACTTACAGCAATGTAGTAAGCCTTATCGTATGACTGGTACCCCGTATTAGAAGGTTAGTAACCCAAAACCATCCTAAAACCCTAAGCCCTAAACCCCAAAGCCCTAAAACCCCCCACCCTAAGCCCTAAACCCCAAAGCCCTAAACCCTCAACCCTAAAGCCCTAAACCCCCAAAGCCCTAAACCCCCGAAGCCCCAAACCCCCAAAACCCTAAACCCCAGAACCCCTAAACCCCAGAGCCCCTAAACCCCCAAATCCCAAGAGCCGCCTGGCTTTGAAGCAGGTGGTCTTCGGTTCCGACCTCCGGCCTGCCGAGGCTTCCGGAAAGGGGAGCCCAGGGGGTGGTCGAGATGAAACAGCGTGATATGAAATCCTTTATAGTGCAGTATCATGTACTACAATAAAACAGGACATAATGTAGTGAAGATAAGTATGTATGTATAATATACATACAGCTATATATATATATGTATATATATATATATATATATATATATATATTTATATATATAGGTATATACACGTATATACGTTCTATATCCGTACGTATATTGACAGGTGGAGGTGTGTATAAGTATACGGAAGGTTGAGGCTTCATGTATACCTGTAGGCATGTATGTGCATATGTATCTGTATATGTATGTACATACATACATGAATGAGATGTACATAACATGGCACTCTTCTCATGTACCTGTATGTACATATACTATACACATATCTATATACACGCATATGTACGTACATGCACGCACAAGCAGATGTATGTGTGTGTGTGTCAGATTCAGCTGCTTTAGAGCTGGGGCTTTGTTGCAATCTTTCAGCATCGAGCTTGGAGCTTCGCAGATGTTTTTGGGAACCCTGAGCCCCTTAGCCTTGGCTTCTCCCTGCTTGGCTTCCGTCGCCCACCCTAAGCTCCTACGAAGCCTCAGATCTTGTGCGCCGCAAGGTGCGATGGATCCAAAAGCAGTCCCTCGGATGCATAGTGAAAGATTCGGGCTGAAGCTTTGGGACCTGACCACACACCCAACGCCCACACCCACCCCATACACGCACACAGGCACACAGACACACATGATTTTGAAAGCTTTCCTTTCTGCTGCCAAGGCTTTGCCGACACTGGGGTGTCGAGAGCACGCGGTGTCTGGAGAGGAGTGTGCTGAACTCTGACCTTGAAGCCGTTTCGTGACAGCGCGGAGGGACGTCGGATGGGCCGTGAGAAACAGCAACAACACCGGTTGCAATGTCACAACATCACGGCGCTCACGTTGGAATTAGTAGCTCATTGTTGTTGCATCTGTGCCGTGACTGTTACTGCTGATTACGGTCGCGTCGGTTCCTAAAGTCCGCAGCTTTGGTAGTGAGAGATGATGGACGGATATTGTGCCGTCTCTGTAGGGATTCAGTGGAATATGCTCTGATGCTCGTCGCAGATGCCATGCCCTGAACCCGAAACCTGATTAGACAGCATTATCTGCACTTGGATACATGTTTACGGTTGAAGGTACCCCGAATATGGTTTAGGTCTAGCGCCTTGCTGCAGTTCTGGTTATGGTCGTCGTGTCAGCGTGTCTGTGTGTGTGTGTGTGTGTGTCCGTCGCCGTTGTTGACGCTGCTTCCGCAGCTGCTACAATCATGCGTCTTCTCAGTAGTGCTGTCATTGCATCTGCCTATCATATTGTTAATTGCCGTTCTGACTTTGTTAGCAATGCTGTTCAGCTTCCTGTTTTGATCGTCGGGTTTTTATTACTGACACAGATGTTAGTCTCCGCTTGCTGGTCTTGCTCCTATGGATGGTCTTGTTGCCAGCTAAGATAATAGCGAGGATGATGTCAAGGCTGAACAGTGTCCCTTGCGGGGCCGTCATCAAGAAGTACGTCCCGCATCTCTGCTGGAATTCAAGCTGTACAGGAGCTGCAAGCTAATCTGCATCTGCTGGAGTTCAGACGAAGATATGTGCCTGTAGCTATAACAGTCTTCGAGGTTGTAGTTCCATTCCGCGAAACAGCTCGCTGCTTCCAGATTTTTTAGTTGTGTCGTACATGCTACTTGTCCTTGGGGTGTTCCGGCGGTGAGGACTTCGCCAGATAGTAGTGGAGGATATGTCAATGCTGACGAAGGAATTCCAGAACATGTGCAAGGGCCATGTGGCCACAAGATTGCAGCCGTTCCGTTCCAGACCTCCCTAGGCGGAGAGACATTTCAATCGAAGAAGTGATGCTGCAGCACAGAGTTCACTAGACGGCCATGGCAAGCCATTGGTTTACCCTTGATTTACAGTAGGCGTGAAACGATGTAGTCGCTGAGGCTTCCGTTGCGTGTCCTAGTGTACAAAGGGGCATGAATAATCTGGACAAGGATGCACAACTTGGACAGATCATGGCTTTGACAAGTCTTTTGTCGACACAGTGCCCGTCTTCGTCATACTGGTAGTTTCTGTGACAACCTCTTTTCATTGCCATAGTCGTGCCATTCCAATAAAATAAGGCTGAGGACACGCGTACGACGCGGAAACCAATCAGCACAGCCGCAACAGCCACAGCAGCAGTCGGCCAGGGTAGCGCCAACGGTCACGACCAGTCTCGTCGAGATCGAAGGCCAACCAGCACCAGCCAAAACAACACAGGACATCACGATACTTCTTGGAATAATGATCGTGACACAGTCAGCGAGGCAATCATCATTGTCATAGAACAGTATGGAAGCACTCACAAGGATGATACGGATGGTGGTTCTCGACAAAAAAAGACACAGGTGCTTCTTGTCAAGGCGATTGCGCGGATTGCTGACTTGGCTGTTGGTTTTCTCCACCTGCTTGTCACGTAACTTGATGTGCTTCATGCTTTCATGCGTTGTCGCGCAGTCGTGTATCTCGATAAAGGTAGCCCCTTGTGCAACATACCCGAAGTCCCAACTACTCTGTTCACGCCAGCCTAAACATGCTCCCGTTTGATGGCGAGGGCTTTAGCGGTCGAGGTGGAGGCAACATGCTGCAGCGTCATCCGTCTGGGCCGTGACAGATGCCAGCCCCTCCTGCACCCATATCAGCCAACATACAAATTTACATGAACCGCAGTTGGGCCAACGGTCATTGTGTCGTGCTAGAGTAGCAACTCATCCTGACAGAATGTGTACGTGCAAAAAACCGGGATAACAAGCGGTATAAGAGGGGCATACAGCAACCAACATAAAGATAGTACTGACGACATCGCCGTTCATCCAGCGGAAATGCATCACGGCATCAATCAAAGATTCAATTGTGTTTTCTTTTGCTGGGGAAGTCATTTGGCATGTCTTACCCTGGACTGGAAAATCATGGAAACCGATGCTTCATTGGTGCAGTGCATGTCCTCAACTTTAACCTCCGCCGCCTGAATCTCTTCTGTACGTGATCCGATCAGTCTCATCTACACTTCAGCCCTTTGATGTGAAGTCTGTTTTGGACCTCATTTCCGTGGTCCAGGGTTGCACGACGGAATCCAGGATCGAAGAAAGGTGATGATGGTTTTGGTTCTACAAATGGGCGCGAAATGATATGTAGTCTCCATATCTGCAGCACTTGTGCATGTCAAAAACCTGCATTGAAGTTTCATTGACCGGAAAGTATTTTGCTGCGTTTGTTCTCACCCCCTTGCCTCGGCAAAGGTTGTCTTCGGTGTCTCCACCCGGACATGGCTTGAGACACTTGCGCCATTTCTTTCATGCCCATGGAATTCTTCCACATGCTCTTGAACTTCTCTGCATCCGGCTCTTGTCAGCCTACTTCCGGCCCCTCCCATTGCTTTTCGCATGTCGTGCGGCTTTCTTAAAGACGACGGCCGCCTTTCTTAAAGACGACGGCCGCCTTTCTTCCTCTGCAAGTCTGCCGATAGAGGCTAGTGCCATACGTGCCAATCTCACATGTCTCTTACATGGACGCGAGCCTATCGCGAACATACACAGGTCAACTGTAGGTTCACGAGACTACTACAAGAAGAAATGAATTCCCATGTTGGCCAGAAGCCGTAAACCCAAAACCCAAGACGGGATACGCGACAAACCTAAAGCTTGTACCCGTAACCCGAAATAGAGGACACGCTGATCGGGGCTGACATATCTTCCGATGCAGCAGTTTAAGAGGCTGCGTGTTCGTTGCTGGACTCCTCCCAAGGTGGGCCTGCTGAAGCCAAATGAAAATCCTCCCTAGGCCCCGAACGCTGAAGCTTGTGAGCCTAGGAGTGGGACCCTACGAGGCAAGAACTGTTGTGTGGCGGCTTGCAACAGCAGCTCATAACTTGGGAGAGACCCCGACGAGGGCTCAGGAGTCCAGCTTCCTGCTTTATAACTTGTTCTCGATTCTGCCTTCTGGATCTACGGTCGAGTTCGCATTTCGTTCTTTCTTGCTTTTGGGAACACAAGTATGGCTCGTAGGGTTATGCAACCCTTTCTAGGGTTTCACACTCGGCTCTCGAAGCGCCCGCCGTGAGTCCGAGACACAAAACACTGCCACACCGTGAGTTGACATGGCCTTGGTCCTCCGAGGGACTACCACCGTTTGTTTCTGTGGGAACTAAGTTATGCAAAGGTCAGCCCACCGATGTTTTTGAGGAGCCCAGAGAAGTCCCAAGCTACATCCTGACTCACTTCTGAAACCTCCGGCCCTCTCCGGGGTGCTGGCCGGAATGCCGAGGCATGCATCAACTGCCAGCAGATCGTGCAAGTGTTGGGTGTGGAGGCAGCAACCATACCGGCTGGGGCACAGGCTTCCGTTTTTCGAGGTTCAGGCTCCTGGGGGCTTTTTTCGTTTCTTCTACGTTTTACAGCTGTCTGTGCATCGGGTAGGGCCATTTGCCAGTGGTCCGTGGGTGGTGGTACTGGCATGGTAAAGTTTCGCTAATGGAAAGATGACACCGAGCTTTCTTTTCTAGCACTCACACTGCAACTATCTCTCGTCAGACGGTGTTACGCAGGTGCAGAACTTGTAGGCACGCTCTCCTTCAGTCGGCTTTGCTCGGCCTGCCTTCGAACCTCATGCCAAAGTGAGGTCATCACCGTGGGCAACCAGCCAGCTCGGCTCAACGTCGCCACGGCCCTGGCGGGAGCTGGCGGAGCTTCAGGGGCATTTCCTACTCTACTATTCAATTTTGGTTGAAGTGCTTAAGCGTTGCAAATGCTTTTAGTGTTTTGGCTGATATTGCAGTTTTGGTGTATCTTTCTAGCGTTGCCGCGTTATGTGCTGTCTCGCTGCATTTGTCTGTATCGTTGCCTCCCCGTTAGACGTTGGGTCTTGTTGAGCAGGCATGCCAAGATAAAAGGTTGTATGCTGAGTTCACATCCTGCCGCATTGTTGGTTCGGAGTCCCGGCAGGGTTTCGTGGTTTCTGCCGGTTCAGCCCTCGACCCTGAAGCCCTAAAGCAAAGAAGTCTGAAACTCTGAACCCCGATACCGGCTTGTGAAGAGTGAGTTGAGACCTGAGGCTGTGTTGTCCCACCTCGGGAGTAGCTGAGTAGCAATCGATGAAACAGGCTGTTGAACTCTTGGGCTGAGTTTTCCTTGGCCAATGTAAGGGCTTGAATCCTGAATAATCGCGGTCATGCATTCCTTAGGGCTTCTTTTTATAAGTATGCTACAGCAGTACCCCAAAACCCAGTTCTGACGAGAAAGGTGGCTATCCTAGGTATGGGGATGTGATATTGCTGGGATAGCCGCAGGGCCCTTCGTTACGTTACGAGGGATCTTCGCTCCTTTGGATCGGCAGAAGTAGGATGCATATTTTCGAAACGCGGTGTTTAAGAAGAGGACATGAAAGCCACAGTTCAAGCATGCATATTTAACGCATAAGCCTCTTTGAGTGTAGGAAGAGTGTAGTCTGACTAGATGATTGAGTATGTTCAGCTTGTGCCAAAATTCATTCCTACAGGATGCTGAAATGTTTCCCGCTTGCTCGAAGCTGATTTGAAAGTCTAGCTGGCCGGCAGGTTGAATGTCACTCTGTCACATGGATGCGCGAGACACGAAGACACGCGACACGAACCTCTGCAAGCCGTCACAAGCGCGACCCAGTCTTAGATCTCTTAGATCCTCAAGATCTCACCCATGCGTAGGCGTAGCAGAGCGAAGCCCCCTGTAGCACGAACGGGATGAGGGGAAAGGCCTTCGCAAGGGTGGACGCATGAACCTCAGGATCCAAGACACGCTTTGAGCCGTCAGCAGCGTCACATGGTTTATGGCGCTGATGTTCCAGCGGGCAGCCTTCGTCACTCTTGTTCATCTGGCGCTTACAGGACGCGCCTCCGATTCGGCCGTCGCCTCGATCGTCATGAACAGAAGCGTTGGCTTAGATGTTGAAGACAAAGTCGATTGCAACTTCGACGATTAATGGCAGGGACGGTGACAAAGAACTCGAACTCGATGACCTACGCTGTACTTGACCATGCTGATGATGGCAATCATAGCGAAGATCATGGTGTTGATGACGATGGCGATGAAGATACTCCCGACGGTTTCCAATTGTTGCTGTTCCTCTTGCTCTCGGTGTTGCCGTTGCTGCTGCTGCTGTTGTGGTTGTTGTTGCTGTTGTTGTCGCTGTTGCTGTCGCTGTTGCTGGTGCTGTTGCTGGTGCTGGTGCTGCTGCCGGTGCCGGTGCCGGTGCCGGTGCTGGTGGTGGTGGTGGTGGTGCTGCTGCTGCTGCTTCTGCCGCCTGTGCATTATCATTCGGGACCCCTGGCAGTCTGTCTGTCAGGTCTCTCTCTCTCTCTCTCTCTCTCTCTCTCTCTCTCTCTCTCTCTCTCTCTCTCTCTCTCTCTCTCTCGCACTCAGTCCTTTGAATTAGGTTGCGGGTTTCACCTTGGAGGAGCTTCTCATGGTCCATCTGCGCGTGCCAGATTATTTTTCTTCACGCGTCATGAAGAGTCTTGCTCCGTGCCGACATAGTGGTTGCTGTTCTTTTTCTTGTCCGGGAGTGTTGGGGGAAGCAGCCTGAATAGTCATGTCCGTACCGAACTCAAGACAAATTGACACTCAGATGATAGCAGAATGATAGTGATCGAGTGATCGTGCTATGACAGCATGGCAAGAGCTCGGCTTCTGGAGAGTCGGTATAGCTGCATTCTGCCCTGGAGGAAACGCAGCCAGCTCGACAAAGCTGACTCCGCAAAATCTGTCACCGGGCTGCTCTCTTGTGCACAGGCCCTCTATAAGTTGGTTCTTGAGAACGTGCTCGTGCGCTGCAGTGGTTTTGCACAGGGGCAGACCCAAATTGGAAGACCCAGCTAACGACTTGCAGTAGCCCTGGCCTGGCACCACTTAACAGGAGTTGATCACTCCCGCCGTTGTTCCAATTGTTATGGGCGTGGTTGTGCTAAGGTTGGTATGGAACCCGCACTGGCAGTGCTTCGTCCGGGGTCTCAGTGGCCACCACTACGACGGCGATAGCAACTACTAGCACGACAGCGACCATGTTTGCTGCCACAACTACTACAACGGCTGCTGCTGCTGCTGCTGCTGCTGCTACCACTATAACTGAACTACTTGTACTTGTACTAGCACTGCTACTACCAGTACTGGTACAAGTGCTACCACCACCACCACCACCACCACCACCACTACTACTACTACTACTACTACTACTACTACTACTACTACTCCTACTCCTACTACTACTCCTACTCCTACTCCTACTCCTACTCCTACTCCTACTCCTACTCCTACTACTACTACTCTACTACTACTACTACTACTACTACTACTACTACTACTACTACTACTACTACTACTACTACTACTACTACTACTACTACTACTACCACTACTACTACTACTACTACTACCACTACTCCTGCTGCTGCTTCTGCTATTACTACTACTACGACGGCGACGACGACGACGATGCCTTCCACTGATACAGCCACTGCTGCTACTGAGGCTCTACTGGTCGCAGTTTAATAATCAATGATATCCAGGGCAACGGTGTCTTTCAGCCGAGAGTGATTGTTTTAATGTTGGTTCACTTGACAACTATGGTGATGATGACGGCGGTTACGATGATCGTGATAATGATGATGGCGAACCCTGGTGATGATCATGATCATGGTCCTGACGCTTCTTCGGTAGGCTAAGGTTGTTGAGCATGATAAGAATTTATGTTGCCATTTGCTATGTGTTGCCTGCTCGCATAAGGGATCAGCGCTGCACAAAGGTCTGGAACCAGAACGACTGCGCGGGGCACGTCAAAAACGCTTTGAACACGCTGCCTGGCCTTGGTCAAGTCTCGGAATTTGTGTGGAGTTCTATCGTTTCAGGGGTGTTTGGTTGCAATCAGGTGAAGGATGCAAGACGACATGTGCGCAGAAAATTTGGTGGGCATTTGGCTTGTTTCTATTGCGGCCGCGGTTTTTGATTAAGGGCCGTTTTTAGGACAGTGAATTGCTTCGTAGAGGTTGCTGAGCAACTTAAGCCCGCGAAGCGCCAGCGTGGTTTGCATCGATGCTTTAGTTTGTGTTGTGGGGGACTTCGAAGTTAAAATGTGTCTGTGCCGACACTTTGCTTTAAGAATTCTTTCAGGTTCTAAGTCTCGCCAAAAGCAGCGCCGCTGAGAGTTCATGCTGAAGCTACAAGTGCACTCGTCATGTGGCGCGCCTTGCCAAGTACCTTCAGAACACCAGGAATGAAGGAAGACGGCAGTGCCTCAAAGTAGTCACCAGCGCGAGCCCCGATCTCGGGTGTGAGGTTTCTGGTCGCCTTCGACCTAGACTTCGCCGGAATCATCGAGCTGCACCTCGCTGGCAACTGTTCAACCTGTTTCAGTTTAGGACTCCCCGGAAACCACATTGACATTCATGGTGAACGATGTGATCCCTCGAACCCGAAGATCAAGAAGAACGCATCTGACACGGAAAGCTTTTGTCTTGAGCCGTCTGAATGTGAGACCACCCCAGCATGAACCAAGTGGCACCCGACAGCCTAGACTGCGATCCGAAGTCTTCATATCTGATGTGGGAGAAACTGAGGATGCTGGTGATGATGGGAACCGGAATGGTGATACTAATTTTTTGGTGACGAAGATGTGTACATGACTGTCTTCGTCGTGGCCATCGAAAAGACTACGAATAACAACGCGAGTAATCATAATGATGATGATCATGGTCATGGTCGCCAGTTACAACCATGTTCATGCTGGTAGCAGAAAGAGTATTCAGTGTCTGGTGTTCTGTGTGGAAGGTCGGATGTGACATACACTCCGACGCCAGAAGCTCGGACGGGTCTTGACGGGATGCACAGGCAACCTCATCTGAGCAGGCAGTGCCGTGTCCCTTCCTCTCTCTCTCTCTCTCTCTGTCGCTCTGCCTCTCTGTCTCTCGGTCTCTCCGTCTCTCTGTCTCTCTGTCTCTGTTGTTACACCATTGCAGCAGTCTACGCGCACAATTATGTCAATCTGTGCATGGTCAAGCATGCACACGCACATCAAGCCTTGTGTGCGTGTTTCCCACTTCCTGTTGAATGATACAGTTCTCTCTTCGCATTGGACTTGACGTTGGTGTGTTAGTTTGTCTGCATGATTACACGAGGCTTCATGCACAGATCTACTCCTGCATACCCGTACACGCACCTACATGTATAAGCACATGTGGATGTGTAGAAGATGGATCTGCAAACTGCACATGCATGACTGACTCTATGATCGGTTGATTGCAAGATTCGACTACTGTTCGCAGCATCCGAGAAGCGCAGAAAGAAGAGGCTGACACATCCCTGGAGAATTCGGGTTCGTGCGAGCAACTATGATTTCGACATGTCAGCAGGACTCGACGGCTAGTTAGTAAGTAATGCTTGTCAGCAAATGCTTTCACGGACATACAGACGAACAATAGCCACGAACAATCACAGCAACAACAGCAGCACGCACTTACAAAGGAAGGTACGGAAATGTTTGGCAACAGCAATTTGCCAAACAGAAACATCAATTAGCCAAGCAGTAGCAGTACAAAGACGGAAGCGGGTGTAATCAATTGAAAACGCATCAGGTATAGCAGTAGCGGCAGAAGTGGCAAGTATAGTGCGTAACGTCATCGAGTGTTGCAGCAATCAGCGAAACATCCACACATGTAGTCACTCGGTGACACATACGTACATACATGCATACATACATACACACATGCATACATTCATACAAACCTGCATGCATACATCCCTCCCTGCATCCCTCCATCCCTCCATCTCTCCCTCCATCCCTCCGTCCATGCATGCATGCGTTGATGCATGCATACGCCATACGCAAACGCCTACATACATACCTGCATACATACATACATATACATATACATATACATATACATATACATATACATATACATATACATATACATATACATATACATATACATATACATATACATATATACACATACACATATACATATACATATACATATACATATACATATACATATACATATACATATACATATACATACACACACATAGATTATACATATACACATATACATATACCTATAAATATACATATACATCTACACATATACATATACTTATACATATACATATACACACATAAACATATACATGTACATGTACATGTACATATACACATGCACATATGCGTACATGCGTGCATACGTACATTCGTAGAGGCACGCACACCTAAACTCAGCCGTGCGTACTGGTTCTGATAGCGCTCCGAGGCCTGGATGGGAGTTTGTCGTCAGCCGTTGTGGGCATGACGTGGTGCACCTGCCTCATGGCTGCACTTCGGAAAGGTAGCTTTTCCGGGGTTCAGGGTTAGGAGTTTAGGGTGCCACGCTTCAGGTTCCTTGCGGGCAGAGATGGTTGAAATTGGGCCCGCCTCCCTCGACCGAGAAGCCCTACACGTCCGAATCCTGAGTCTTTCGATGGTTAAGCTATGAAGGTGTTAGGGCCATAGGTGATCTCTACAACCTGCAAGCCACAGCAGACACTTCAAGGGGCCTGAAGGGGGGGGGGCTTCTCAAATTTCAAATTCGACTTCAGAGGAGGCTTCTAGAGGAACTTGAGATCACAGAGGGGAGTAGAGTATAGCTTCAGGAGCTCGGTATGAACAGCGAAAGTGATACAGGACTGGCAGCCGTGGTATCAACAACAAGCATCTCAGCAGCAAGCCGTATATGATCACTACCATCAAGACCGCCACCATCACCATCCTTGTCTTTATCTACAAGGGATCATCACCACAAAGACCATGACCGTCATATTCATCAGCGCCGTCATCATGGCTATGGTGTAGCAATGACCAACAAGCATCATGAAATGAGTCACTGACAAAGTGCTTATCATGATGAGATAATAACACTTAGCTCAGGGTAGCCGCGAGGGCCGATCGCTTCAACTGACCTGCGGAGGTTCTACAACTCCAAACGCCAGGGCCCTGGTCTGAAAAGGGTCGGCAAAAAGGCAACCAAAGCAGTCTTAGGGTTTACGGTTTAGGGTTAAATCCTGGTGAATCACTCCCCTGAGGGGTCAGGCGTAACGTTTCGGTGCATGGAAGGCCTGCTAGGTGTCTTCAGGGCAAGCAAACTCTCTCGGATGTGTTGGGGCTTCGGAGGGTCTTGGATTGCGCCGTGGTCTGCTCAAGCCTAGCGGTCACAAGCTTCCTGAGAAGTCTCCGAGTGGCGAGAGCTTTTGAATGCATGATGTATATATAAATATATATCTGTGTGTGTATGCATGCATGGTTCGCGCGCGCGCGTGTGTGTGTGTGTGTGTGTGTGTGTGTGTGTGTGTGTGTGTGTGTGTGTGTGTGTGTGTGTGTGTGTGTGTGTGTGTGTGTGTGTGTGTGTGTGCGTCTCTGTGTGTTTTTGTGTTGGTTGGTTGTGTTCCGGCTGCGCGTCAAACTAAAATCTCATCTAGCCGACCTGGATGCAGATGCAACGTCACAATGTGCAGTTTGGGTTCCATCGGTACCCGGCATCCCGAAAGCGAGACTGCTGATCCATCGAGGTTGGTATCCGTCCAATGATACGCTGACACCTGGATGCATGCTGCAGTACCCGACGCAAGACCGGCCGCCACCTGGTGAGGAGATATGGAGGGGTTAGTCGCATGTGTTCGTCTCCTGTGCCCTATCATCAGCTTGCACCAGCCACTGGGACTACTAGGCCCGGCGCTAGACTGCCCAGCGAAGGCAAGAACCGGTAAGTCCGTTTGCAGGCGTTGGACCGTCAGAAGGTCTTTAGCGAGGGCCTCTCCGGAGCTTGCATCGGGCTGGTTTACCAGGTATATCCTCCAGCACTTCAGTTCACCAGAGGGCGCGGAGGCTCGAGCATGCTTGTTCCGGGTCGGCACTTTGGCATCACCGTGTCACGCAGCAGATGATGTCACGCCGGCCTTGTCCTCATCGTGCTTTATATCTCTCGCAACCATTCATGTCCTGTTGCTGTTTGCCAGAATGTGTCAAACTCAGTCGGGACTTACCTAAACCTCTCTAAAGCCCGAGAGGCACTGTCCAAAACCACCGCCTTGATGTAGGTCATTGTTGCCGCAGCTCACTTTCCGCACCCGATGCTGTCCCGAGACGAGTCTGTGAAGCTCGGCGTATCCATGATCCAGGGACCGAGCCACGGAAAGCCCCCTCCTTGTCCGATTAGTCTGAAGCCTTGTAGTGGGGGCTGACTGTAGAGCTGTAGAGAGGACCGAGATGACTAGAGTCATGTCGGATTGGACTTGAGATGTCGGCGGAGGGGACTAGAATCGGTGACCTTTCGCGGTTGTTTGCTTTGTAACCTTCAGGGGCAATCGGGCAAGCACGTGTTTGTTCGGGTGTGTGCACATACATATCTGTATATAAATATGTATGTATGCATGCATGCACGTATGTATACAAGTATCTTGTATTGTATTAGCTGCTTAGCTGCTCAATCTTATCTTACATTATAGAACACGGTATTAAAGTATATCGAATCATACTGTATCACATTGTATTAACAGAGAGGGAGGAAGGGAGGGAGAGAGAGAGAGAGAGAGAGAGAGAGAGAGCGAAAAACAAACAGAGAGAGAAAGACAGAGAGAGAGAGAGAGAGAGAGAGACAGGGGGGGAGAGAGAGAGAGAGAGAGAGAGAGAGAGAGACCTCCAAGGGGAAATAGTGCTGAACTCCTTGAGTAGATGGACGGGGGAATTTTGGCATTGCCTGTCGTGTTGGTGTGTAAGAGTATGTTTGATGCTGTCAGTTACTATGACCTGTCATGCACCGGCCCTGCGACGACCCAACCCTTGCCACACTTTTCGTCCCGCAGTGTTGCACGACGGCTGAAATAGCGTGTTGGCATGCTGAAGCTGGTTTGCATCCGTTAGAGAGATGCATGAGTTGCTATGAAATGACCTTAGGCGAAATGACCCTTTGTTGCTTGGGTATGCTCCAGCTGGGGGGACTCTCCTTTCTCTACGTAGAGCCAAGAGCCGCGGGTGTGCGGACCGCACGGGGTAGGGGCTTGAACGCTGCCCCTAGAGAGACAGAGAGAGAGAGAGAGATGGAGGGTTTAGGGGTCAGGGTTTAGGGTCGCTACAAAGCAACCACCCGAGCATTCTCCGGACACCTCCCACACCACGCTACTATTGCCTACTATTGCACAGACAGAACAAATCCTTCAGAGATGGGGGGAACAACTGCACGAGCATGGCAAGCGTGTGGTGGGTATGGATGCCAACGAGACCTTCTCGCCCCCAATGGCAGCTACAGCGGGATGCTATTCCACTACCGGAAGAGGGGAACTTGTCCTGGAGTGGGCAACAGAACATAGACTGATTATACCACCACAACAACTCCACAAACCCAGCTACTTTCCCTGCAACAATTGCAGCCAAGCCGCCTGGACTATGTCATGGCAAAGGGCATTACGCTGGGCGAAGGCAAAATCTTCGCATGCAGAGAGAGCCGCGTCCGATCATGATGCAGTGGGGGCCCCCTTCTCTACGCACGCCGGGGTAGGAGCTCGAAGATCCACCTGGGGACCACGCAGACTACGACCTCCCCACTAAGTGGAAAAGCTACTGGCAGTAGACCCTCCACGCGGCGAGGACCCACATCTCGTCGTCTGCACCATTGCCAAAGCAATCACAGTCCCCGGCAGCGGACACAACACCTTCCGCGAAAGCACGCACCTCAAGGAACTACGAAACCTTGCACAGCACAGCCCCCCGGGGGCGGCAGCCCGAACCGCATGGAAAGCAGTGGCTCGCCAAAGCAAACAGGAGAAACGAGCATGGCTCCAGCAGCAAGCCATCCAGGCGGGGAACCTCGGTCCAGAGAGGACAAACACACAAAGGATGGCACCTGCATCTGCAAGACGATCCCGAATGGGAAGCACACCTCCAGGCTCACATGCGGGGGATTTTCGTCAAATGCCAACCAGCCGGGGGGGAAGCCCGAATGGCCACTCTGCGGCAAAAACTCCGCAGGAAGTGCGAAGTCGCTCCATGGCACCCTTTCACCCTGGACCTGCGAGCCACATCGCAGGCTTGGGCTCACAACAAAAGTACAGGGCCGGATGGAATGTCTCATGAAGCCGCCAAAGCACTACTGGCAGATGCAGCCTGGGGGGACAGACTCACGTACCTTCTCAATGACATCTTTTATACGGCTTCCGTTCCTCCTGAAATTGATAAGGGTATCACCGTGCTTCTCCCCAAGATACCCACCCCACTTGAATGGGGGGATACACGGCCGATCACTCTGAGCTCAACACTCTTTAAGTGGACGTCACAACTCCTGATGAGCAGAGGGGGGCACAGCATCAGGCATGGGGCGACCTTGCAGTGGGCGCGGCAGGGGAGGCAGGGAGTGGAGCTCCTCACCACCGTCAGAAGAATTACACAGATGGCTCGGGATTGGGGAATAGGAACATGGTTAGTGAAATTGGACATCCGCAAGGCTTTCGATAGCGTCTGGCAACACAGTATGAGTGAAATCGTGGCAGCAAGAGTGGGGGGGGTTGCCTCTAGCCGTTGTCCCGTGCCGGACAATGCGGGGGACAAACTTGGGAAGCGCTGTTGTGGCTTAGCATCTTGCACACAAGAGCCCTCAACGTTGCGGTGGGGGATGCCATTACCACCGTACCCCAAACCAATGGGATCCGCCAAGGCAGCCCGGACTCACCAGACCTCTTCGGAGCGATAGTCAGAATGCTATCGACGCAGCGCCCACCCAAGGCCTGGACGCCAAAGGTGGCCCCCCACCTCCCCGCACTGGGGGGAGCTTCCTTGATGACACATACTTGTGGTCACAGGATCACGACCACGAGGGGGAGCTCGCCACCGATGGGCTTCAAATACACCCCACCAAAACAGCAATACTCTTCAGCAAAGCAGAAGGGGGAGGCAGGGCAACAGTCCCATGTTCACCACACAAAGCACTAATTACAACACTGGGCTCGCCGATTACCTTTGGAGACAACATCACTACGCTCGCAGGTGAAATGCAGAGGCAAGAGAGGATTGCATTCGCCAAGCGTCGCGCCGTGCTCCTCGCCCGAACCAGCCTCAAGCCCCGATGCGAAGCATACACCACCTTAGTACGGAACGCAGCACTCTACGCGACAGAGAGTTGGCCAGAACGCCTTCTTCGAGCAACCAATTCGATGCAGAGCCAGCATATGAGACAGATGCTGTTCTTAAACCGGGGACCAACGGAAGCCTGGGCGGAATGGCATATCCGTTCACTACGACAGACCAGGGCACAGATGCACCGAGCAGGCATCGAACGCTGGTCCACGTTTATCCTACGCCGCACCTGGAGCCTCTGGGGACACATGGCACAACGGGGTGGAGGAGGTCACTGCGATGCTCACGTGGAAGGACCTCCAATTCTGGCGCAAGGAACAGCAAGAGCCGCGAAAGCAGCGTGTCATGCACGCAGGGAGGTTCAACCCAGAGGGGGATGTGGAAAGGGCATTGGAGGTGGTAGCAGGCACAGCATGGGCGACTGTTGCGCAAGACAGGGCAAGGTGGCAACACCTCACACAAGCATTTATAGACAGATCGGCAAGCAAGCAAGCAAGCAAGCATCCAAGACAACCTACGACCTAACACACTCGCAGACACCGAGCATTACCACTTCAGGACGAGAGGGGGATAGCGCAATGAAGGGACTACCTGACAGCTGTGCCTTGACCCTCCCGTGGCAGCCCGGGGTCTTCCACCCTAACCCTCCCCGGGACGGGGCGACCACGACCGACCAAAATACAGACAGAAGAGAGACTAAGCAACGTCAGCCTAGCAGACCGCAACAACGCCCTGTACCTCAACCCACACCGTCGTTCACACCACTGTGCACACAAAGCGCCCGCTGCCGACACCACCACCACCTTACCACGTCCTGGCAAGCAACAATTCCAAGCTTCAGCAACAGCAGCTGCCACCCACAAGCACAGCGCCCGCCACCGACACCACCCCCACCCTACCACAGTCCTTAGCAGACTTCAACAAAGCAGCCCGGTCAACAATGCGGGGGGAACCTTCTCCAGCACACACAGTCAGCAGTCAAGTGATGCCCTTTCTTCGGCATCCGCTCCCAACCCAAGAACCAGCCGCAGCCACGGCAAAGGCAGCCATGGCCGGAGAAGCGGGGAAGGCAAATGCGCCGGAGGAGCATTGCAGGTACTGCGCCCTCGGCTGTGTCGGCAAACATTTGCGGCATAAAAGGCTGGACCCAGCCTGCAGACTTTTTGGAGTCCCCCCACGCCGTACAATGGGTTGATTAGCGTTAGCGTTCTTCGCCACAGACCTCTCGAAGCCGCAGACGCCTGGACCGCCTGTCGCGGGTGAGATACAACCGCCAGTTCGGGGTGCAAGCAGGCGAGTTCTATGCCCTCCTGCAGAACAGAGCTAGGCCACTGCCTTCGATTACCACCAGCACCGGGGAAGTCGTGATCGAAGTTCCCGTGGAGCCTACACTGGAAGGGGGACCAGCAGCCTCTTGGACGCCGGTGCAAACAGCGCAAATGAGTGCCGTCGGGGAAGGCACTCACAGTGCAGTGCACCCTCGTCCGAACGTGAAGGAGGAGCCAGACTGGAAAGCAAGACAGAAGTGGCGAACGCGGAAGCGGGAAGGGAAAACCCCAAAACCCCCTCCCTCATCAGCACTGAGAGCGAATGTGGTTACCTAACCAACAACATGGCAGCGCGCGTGACGCCTCCGCTACCTCCTCACCTACAGCCCTTTTCCTCACAGCCTGTGGGGGGAAGAAGCGGCGGGGGTGCAAGAAAGATCTGGTGTTCGACGCAGTCACTCCAAAGTCACTCCGGAAAGAGTGGGAACTTCCAGAGCAGGAGCCAGCCAGGGCAGATGTGCCAGGGGAAGTACCCTCTACCGCCTCTACCGCTTCGGGGTCGGCAACAGGGGGAGACTTAGTCGACAAAGTCCTGCAAAACCTAAAGACCGGGGAGACAAAGACGACGAGGAGGAGCTCGAAGAGGTGCAGCCAACAGAAGGGGGACCCATCGTGGACCGTGATGCTGTTCGCACTGGGATGGCAAGGGGGAGAGAGATCCAGCAAAGCCTTTCAACCGGCCGCAAGACCTTCTTCGTGCGGGACATGAAGATCCGCTTACCAGCCGCAAAAGCGCGACCTCGACCGGAGGGAAACTTGCCTCCAGAACATGCTGCAGAAGCAAGTGAGACTGGGGGGAAGCTCAGCGCCAATCTCCTGCGGCATGCGCATAGCTGCTGAAGCTGATCGCCGAGTACCGCCTACAGCAGGAGGGGAGCACCGACACCCAGGGGGAGAAAGCCAACATCCTGCTGGTGCACGCCCTGACCGCCCGCCTCTGCACACGTGAGCCTCAGCTGAAACAGAGCCGCCGCTGCTGTACAGCCCTCAGGACCGCTACTGCAGGGGGAACTGTCTGCCTGCCTGTACCTAGTAGGCTTGTCCTTCCCGTAGGCGACAGTGTCCTCCCACAAACGACACCACGAACCGTGCCCTCAATGCCAAAAGGCAGCTGTAGTGGCTCCTTAGAGAAACCTTTTCCTGAATGCAACCGTGGCGTGAGCCGAAAACTTTAACTTGTTGTTGCTCCGCATGATGTGAACTTCTAGTCAAATGTGCTCAGTCGGGGGATGCACACCGGTCCGGTCAGGTTAGCCCTCATCGCAACAAGCCGGGGGAAATGATAACACAGGCCGGTGACTGTAAAGAGTTCGAGCTCTTTGTGACGGTGAAGAGTTTGAGTCTTTTACCGCACTGTACCACGTCAGAGCAGGGTTGTTGTTAAGGATGGTTATGGTGATTGCTGCTGCTAGAGGTCTTTTGGAAAGCTCTGACGGGGGGAATTATGATCCTGTAAAGCCGAGCCCCTTGGCGAAAACTGCTGAATCGGGAATGGACTCTCTGCTAAACCAAGCGGGGGTGCGTTCGCGCACGAAGAAACTGCCTGGACGCTGCAGCTTCTTCACGCCCGGTAGCAAGGAAGCAAGCAAGATGGAGGGTTGGAATGAGCGCGTGGCAGCGTGCACGCATGCGGGGGGAGAGATAGAGTTAGAGAGAGAGCGAGAGGCAGAGAGACAGAGAGACAGAGAGAGTTTTCCGTGCGGGTTGCCTATGCACATGTTCACTCATACATACATATACATGTCCACTGTCATTTTTCACTTCCTGAAGGTTCTGCGGAATGTCAAGATACCGATACAGATAAAGGATACAGGAACCCAACATACCTAAGTATATACTGATGTTCAGGACAAATTTCCAATCCCACCCCAAATACAAGGCCCTAAGCTTGAAACCTTAAGCCCAGGTATTCGCGCACCGCCTCTACTGAGCTGCTTCAACGAGCCTTGGGGGACCTGATGGACAAGACCGGCACGGACAAGGCCGAAGTCGCGAGAGCTTGGGCTTTATGTGGATGATTTTCTTCTCCCTCTCTCTTGCTCGCGCTCTCTCTCTGTCTCTCTTTCTCTGTCTCGCTCCCTCTCTCTCTCTGTCTGTCTGTCTGTCTGGCTGGCTGGCTGGCTGTCTTCCTGCCTGCGTGCCTGCCTGGTTGTCTGTGTGTCTCTGTCTCTCTGCCTGCCTGCCCGCCGGCCTGCCTGCGTGCCTGCCTGCGGGCTGGCTGGCTGGCTGGCTGGCTGGCTGGCTGGCTGGCTGGCTGTCTGTTCGTCTGTCTCTCTCTCTCTCTCTCTCTCTCTCTCTCTCTGTCTCTCTCTCTCCCTCTCTCTGTCTTTCTCTCTCTTTCTCTCTGGTATGATTCTCATTCTCGTCCTTTCTCATACATATATACATACAATACACATACACATTTTATGTGTGTATGCACACGAGTACATGTACATGCACGCATATCATATACAGATGTAGGCGTGCAGATACAACGCCGTTGTGTTCAACCACCTAGCTGAACATCATTCACACCGATGTGCACATGCATTCGCACGACATCAATACATAATTGCATACATGCACATGAACATACGCATACACAGAACTCAAGCACTACAGGAACAGGACAACAACAGTGCAGGTCGTGCTGATGGCAGACACAAATGCCTACCGGTGGATTTCCAACGCCGCATGGCATGCATTGAGGCTGAACATGGTAGACAGACAAGGTCCACGCACCGGGTGTGCCGTGAGACTCGCTATGCAGACTTAGAAACACAAGCTTATTGCATAGCTCACAGCTCCTGCAAGTAAGCAGCACACCGAAGGGTGGTTACTTGTGTTTCGTCGGTCTCATCCGCTTGACGATCGACGCCCAGTCTTTTTGGGGTTGCTTGAACCGAGTCCCCTCCTTGGCCCACGCAGAGAGATGGCAACTTCCAAGGACTTGATTTGGGCAACTCAGCTCGAACTTCCAGGCGGCGTCTTTCTCCAGCCTCCCTCTAAGTAAAGGCGTCAGACTTCTCAGAGGGTCGGCGAGCCAGGTCTCTTATGCAAAGACTGAAGGAGTCTTAAGCCTTCGCAACCCTCCATCTGGTTCACAGACCTCGGATGATTAGGGGCACGGCTTGGATACTTCAAAGCAACAAAACTCCAGGGTGCTACGGCGTATTTTGTGCTTGCGAGCTCAGGGCTTCTCGGCATTCTGCTTTGAAAAGGTTCTGCTAGCTGCACTGAAGTTTCGACGATGTGTTAGAACAGGAGTTCTACAACTCTAGAGCGGGAGCCAGGCTCATCTGCAAGTGGCTGCAATGTGAGACCGTGTCACCCTTCAGAAATGGACGCTATACACTTCAGTCCTCATCCAGTGCGTGTTCGCACAATAAGCCGAGATTGGCAGGGGGGGAGCCTTAATAGAGTGCAGTCGCTACACGGCGTGCCAAACGAGCAGCCCATCCTGGTGAACGCACAGTAGCTTCCGTACATCGGGATGCGCTGGCCGCATATTCGTGTTGTAGTCGCCGGCGAAAGCACAGTCGAAATCAATAAACAGTAATTAGCGGGACCCATTGTTCTCGTGCCACAGTCATTCCAATCACAGCCAGCGATGTTGCTCCGTGACGCAGGGCCAGTAATCGGATCCCAATTGATGAACACCTGCTGCCACATGGCAGCATTTGGTCTTTCTGTATGTCGTGGATGACGAAACACTCGAGTAGATTCTGGTCAGCGGATTTCCGGGTGGACCAATGGTAGGAGCAAGGAGCCCTCGTCACACAAACTTTGAGCTCCAATCCTAGGCCCTAGCCGGACAATTCAGACTTATTTTGATTAGCGCTGGCTTTGTAATGCGTGGGCTTGCGGCCCTGAGTTGCATCGCCGTGGATAGGTTCGAGGTCCGAAGGGTTGAAGATGAAGTTGAGGCTTCAGGGCTCAAGGTCTTCAGTGGATTCAGCCGCAAGGAGCAACCCTTTCAACCTCGGAGCCATGGCCCGACCTTGCTGCCTGATCTTGTCGGCACGTCTCGGAACATGAAGAGGCAATGACTCCTACATAACCGACAGAACTATATATCTCGCATGGCACACCGGAAGGTTCCCATTCCTCAAGAGTCAGCCGGACTCAGGTCTCGATGCAGACTTTCCGCCAGACTTGACTTTCGACCGAATCATTGCGGCTGTGCTGCATGGGACGGTCTGCCAACAGCAGGCATCATAAACTCCAAAATGGAATGCCAGAACCTATTCCCGAAACCCAACGTCCCAAACCGGAAAACCTTCAACCCTCCGAAAAAGCCGCAACATCACCTCCACATCCACGTGGTGGGACCCACCACCGCCACACCATCGGACGGGGGGAGGAGCAGGGTACCGGCCACAGGGATTGGAGGCTCACCGGTCCAGTATTGTGTTACGTGTGTGCCCAGTAATTTCGTGAGCGGTTTGGGGTCCCCCTGACGCGTGCGAAGAGCTTGAGGCAAACTTCGGGAACTTTATATACTCAGCTGCAATGTACAATCCGGTGGACCTCCCGAATTGGACCCGTCAGGTCCTAGGACGGCCTGGGATGCAGTGTGGGTTGAAGGTTGAGGAACTTCTGAGCTAAAGAGTGTATTTGTAGGTTCAGGTTGCCTGCTTTCGTCCGATGTTGGGTGCGATGTTTCTTTGTTTCTTTTCGATGCTTGCTTTCGCAGTTGCACTGCCAGAGACGCCATGGACCTTTCCACGAAGCCTCGGCCGAAGCTGAGCATCAGTCCAAGCTCTGCGAGAATGTGGCCACCAATTCCCGAAACTCTAAACTAAACCCCAAGGCCTTGTTTCGAACTTCGAACACTAAGCCCCTCTGCCCAAACACAAAATCTTCAGCCCTGGAGGAGATAGGGTGGGTGCGTTCCACCGCCCTGTCCTCGCACAGATCGAGACGGTTCAGTCGGAGAGCCATGGCCCAGGCGCTTCGGAGCCGGTAAGGTTTGAGCTTCTGTCACCCCTATAGTACTTTTCAAGGGGTTACTAAAGGCGGGAAGCATAAAACCCTAACCCAAGGAGTCCGAAACCCTACGCCCTTGAACCCTAAACTCTGCAGATCATCGACTGGCAGCCCTCTGGACGGCCGTCATCTTGCTGGGGATCAGCACCGTGGTCTTGGCTGCCGGGCTTTCAAAAGGTCGGAAGCAGATAGGCCAAAGAATTAGGGTTGTTGGACCTTAGGCTGGCATTCCACCGATATTCCGCCAGTGGTCTTGTGCAGTTTAGGCACTTTCTTTAGGAACGGCACAATGGCGACAGCCAGAAGGGCCTCTGGATAGGCACAACTCACATTCAACATTGATGGCATCTCGCTCTCCCTCTCCCTTCTCCCTCTCGGGGACCACGTCTGCAGGATTTGACGTAAAAAGAAGCGGGGAGCCATTTTCCGTGCGTGCCGGGAGATACTAGTTCTTGTTACCCGGTGGACGGGTGATGCCTCTAGGGTGGGCGGGCCCATGGCGGTTTCGGGTGGCACATCCCTCCCTTAATCCCAGGCTCGGTTTGCGGGGGCCCGCAGCATTGAACTCTGCACCGGAGCCCCAATGACGCATGCAGAGGGGCAAAGGAGGCACGAGAGACCGCTTCCGTTGGTCGGAGAGCACCCCAGGTCGACACTGACTCACGCACATGTCACTCTGTGTTACAACAGTGTTTTGTGACTTTGCACACACATACTTATGTTGATCTATTCATCTCTTCATGCACCTAGTTCACTTTGGCAGTTGTTCTGTTTAGTGTCACATACATAAGACACAACGTTGCGCACGAGCCCATTGGTCACTGCATAGCATGGCAGCCCAGGCTTCCATCTTATGCATCATGCTTCCATCGCCCTGCCGGCGTGCGGGCCCAAGTGGGACCTACGGGCTGATGGAGGACTTTCTAGCTCGTGAGGTCTGGAGCTTGGCTCGCAGGGAAGGTTGGGTTACTGACGGGAAGTCTCCAGGTGTGGTTGGTTTGAAGAAACGTGAGACATGTGCGGGAGCTACCAACTACCAGCATGCTCTGGTTTCGGTCATGGTTGCGTATCACGGGCTGGCTCAGTGCACCTGAGGTTTGAGAGCCAAGCAGGACTGGAGCAGTGAAGAGAGCTCTTCATCCGAGAGCATCCGATAGTGATTGTTACCTACCGAAATTATGCGTAGGCGCCAGGACAGGAATGATTGATTCAGCTGCATGGATTTTGAGTTAGTCCAATCGAACGCAGTCATAACCGATTAAGGGGTTATCGTGTTATTGATGTCATGCCTAGTTTGCCATTGATTTTCACGGGGCTTTTGACTTCGTGTTGTTTGAGATCTTCTACTGATGACAGGCCGATGCTTATTCTTGAGGTCTCTGCATGTGTCTTCCAGCTCATGGACGGCGGCTGCTATGGACAGGATAGGATCCTACACGATGGTTAATGCATTGGTTTGGAAAGCCCGTGGATATCATTGACAGGCGTCATTCCCATTGTCGGATCTGAAAGCCGGGTTGCCCCTTGAAATATCGGAAGTTTCCATTTGGACGGAACCTCAGACACCAATAGATTCCAAATGTCACCACTTCTACTGACACTCACTTCTCAGGGATTTGCCAAAGTCTTCTGATGTTGATCTTAACTGGCAAGTCCACAAATTACTGTCGGATGCTCTCGGGTCGGACTAGGGCGACGTTTCGCTCCCTGCACAAAGCGTTGCGGGTACCGTCCTAGCTTTGACAACGCGCCCCTTGACCAGCGCTTGAAAGAGTTGCTGGTTCAGGAGGATTTAATTTAGTTCCGTGGCAGTCAGAGCCGTGATGGTGTGACCTTTCTGCCACTCAGCTGCTTTTGCTGTTGAATCCCAGCTGTGCTTTTGAAATCCGTATCGCAGGCATGGTATAGCATGGTCCTGAGAAGCATGAGGACTATGATTAGTAATCATTAGTATTAGTAATTATTAGTTCAACTCTCCCCTACTGGTAGTAGTATCGTTGTGAAAGCCTGGAGCCAACCATCGAGCTGTCACTTCGAGATGACGAGCGGCTTTCATGAGGGCCGTGCTTGCCGTGCATACACACGGATTCCCGCTCCCCACATTCCAAGGGTAAAGGGAGGGAACTTAATAAGGACTCCTAGGTACATACCCTCAATATAGCTACTACATACCACCCATTATTATATAGCCCAGTATAAGGTGGGGGTCCCCATTAAGGGTCCCTCCTTTTCCCCTTTGACACATGGAGAAGGCAGGAGCAGAGAGCCTCGGATCTGAAGCACCGGCGCCAAAAAGCCAGAAGGCAAGAAGTGATCTGAGCTTTCAGACACCTTTCGGTTTGGATTTCCGGATGGCTTCGGTGGCCCGGGCTTCCCTTCCGTTGTGGAGGTTTCAGGCCGGTGATGCTCTCGGCTATAACCTCGAAGCGTCTGGGCCAGGGTCCCTTTGGACTGCGCCTGCCGCAGATTCGGAAGGTCTCTATCCATCGCGTTCATATGTAATTATGTTGTTCGTCACAGCAGACAAAGCCAGGTATGCTGCCGATCGGAGCCAGTTCCGTCTCTAAGGGCATGGCCAGTCCAAGTTGACCCAGCAATCCATGAAGCGGTGCCCAAAAGCCACGGCTGTCTTCGTTTGCTCCAATCCTCTACCCGCATTTTACACGGTGTCCAGGCGACTCTCTGTCAGAACGAAAGTCGGCAATCCCCTTGAGCTTTCCAGTGTCGTGTGCCGTTGGTGTTATTGGTATTATTACTATTACTGCAACTGCTACTACGCATCTTTCTTGTCATTACTCTTGTTATTGTTCTTGGGCAATCATGGCCTACCAGCAGTAATCATCGATCTTGTCGCAGGACCGAAGAGTCATTGCCACATCTTTTGTCACAGGCCCGACCAAAAGAATAGTCGAACCCACAACTTCTTTCAAGACCCCGGAACAACCGGTCAGAGCTTTCTGAGAATCTGATGATGATGGCACTTTAGCGGGCTTGTTCAAACCCTTAATAAATCTTTGGACATCTTGTGGAAACTGCTCGAGAGCTCAGAAACTTGAAGCCCAGAAAATAGGAAAGCCGAGTCCGACTTCACAAGTCACTGCTCCCGAAGACAATATGCAGCACTATGACAGAAAGTCCCGTTGAAGGCTACAGCACTGATGACATGCTGTCCAGGACTCCTACGCCCTGGAGAAGTAACCTGGAACTCAAACACGCTCCCGAACGGAAGATGAGCCAAGTCTGACAAGAAGTTTTTTAGGACCATGCATATCCATCAACGGCGTGGTACCCCCACCCAAACCTGACAAAGAGCCGGCAAGCTTCATGCCAAACCCCACTCATCCCCAACCCCGACCTGCTTGAGCGTAGCCCCTCAACATGAGGTCATGGAGCTTTGCAATGAGGGCTCCGTAAGCGACGTCCTTAGGCCGAGGGGGAGACCGCACAACCCTTCCTTGGCCTCCTACTTCCTTTAAGGAATTTGGGCTTTCGAGTCGGTTTCATTGCAGATAGAATACAATGCAAAGAAGGCAATACATGATATAGGAAATAAGAGTATAAATAAGACAATACAGTATGAGCATCACTCAGTATGATGCAGGATAGTACAACGTACTACAACATAGGGCTTCCTGGGGATCCGACGGACCTTGTAGGGCGTGAAGGACCTGCGGAGTGTCTTGGCGTGTTGTTGGATTGCGCGCTCAGAGCCTCTGGGCTTGAGTGGTTACACATCCTTGCTGAGCGTTCCGTAAACTTGATGGTAGTCCAGGTATTGGCGATGTTATAATTACTCTTGGTCCTGTCCATGCATGCGTATACCCAGAGCAGATTTAGTAGGTCTTCATGTTTGCAGGATCGTCGTGACGTTTGCTAGGTCGAAAGGAAAACAGTTGGCAGTGGCAAGTTGAGTCGCTTTCTGGGCTTACTGCCGATGGTAGAGTCAGTGAACAGGCTCCTCGAAGTGTATGCCCGCTGCAGCACTTTGCTAACGTAAATTCCGTATGTAGACAGACATCCAACCTTTGGCCTGCCAGAACACAGAAGCGGCTGCCGATCTTTGCATCCTGCTAATTATAGTACCAATACGAATACTAAAACTAAAACTAATACTAATACTCAAGTACAAGCAGCGACAAGAATGGAACCCAAGCCTTGCGCACACAAAACCTCACAGCTGGTGAGAGCTTCAGGGCTTTCAGCAAAGCATGACGTTTGTCTCGGGGTACTTATAGAAATTATGCTCAGCATCATCATCATCATGAACCGTGCCCAAAGTTCCAAATGTCACTTATTTTAACTCTGAACTGCGAACATTCTATAGCTGCAAACCCCATGGCCCTATGGAACCCGCGAACTTGAAAACGCCACAGAGCGCAAAGCCCTAACATCTCACGTTCTCAAGGACTCCGGGTCTTGAAGAAGTAATTATTAGTATTGTCAATAGTGCTTCTACCACTGTCCATTTGGCATCACTTTCACCATTGCTGTCATATCTCTTCTCCCATGCCTATAATGCGTATACGAGTATGACTACTCTTGTCGTATTGCTGTTACCACTATGCTTGTTGTTGCAAGGATTGTTATGATTATTACTGTTATGCCAATGGTTGTTGCTATTGTTATCATTGGGTTTGTACTATTCGCAATATCAGTGCTACCTCTCCCAATGTCAAGCATTACTGTTGTTTACATGTGTACAATTTTGAATGTCGTGATTCTTGCGATGATGATGACGATTATGGTGATGATGGTGATGGTTATGATGATGATGGTGATGATAATGATGATGATGATGATGATTGCAGCTGCTGGTTGCTGTTGCTATCAAGTTTAATTTTGCTTGTTGTTGTCATCAACAGTGTTAGTATTGCCACTGTTGTTATCATTATTATTGTTGTTGTTGTTACTACTACTACTACTACTACTACTACTACTACTACTACTACTACTACTACTACTACTACTGCCACTACTACTACCACTACTACCACTACTACCACTACTACTACCACTACTACTACCACTACTACTACTACTACTACTACTACTACTACTACGACTACTACGACTACTACGACTACTACGACTACTACGACTACTACGACTACTACGACTACTACGACTACTACGACTACTACGACTACTACGACTACTACGACTACTACGACTACTACGACTACTACGACTACGACTGCTACTGGTGGTACCTGGAGGAAGC